TGTATTTCCCTGACTAATGATGTTGATCATCTTTTCATGTACCTCTTAGCCATTTGCCCATCTTGGGAGATAATGTCTATTCAGATCCTTTGCCCATTTTCAAATCAAGTTGTCTTTTTATTATTGAGTTGTTGGTTCTTTATATAGTCTGGATACATGTCCCATATTAGATGTATGATTTGCAAGTATTTTCTCTTATTCTATGGGCTGTCTTTTTACTTTCTTGATGGTGTCCATTGAAGTACAGAAGTTTCTAATTTTGATGAGGTACAACTTATGAATCTTCTCTTTTATCGATCATGCTTTTGGTGTCATATCTAAGAAACCATTGCCTAACCCAAGATCATGAAAGTTACTACTAAGAGTTTTATCATTTTCGCCTTTAAATTTAGGTCAGTGATCCACTTTGAGTTAATATTTGTGTATGGCGTGAGGCGTAGGAGTCTAAATTCATTCTTTTGTATGTGGACATCCAGCTGTTCCAGTACCATTGTTGAAAAGACTGTTCTTTCCCCTAGTGAATGTTGTTGACTCCTCTGTCCATAAATGTAAGGGTTTATTTCTGGACTCTAGTTTCGATTCCGTTGATCTGTATTTCTCCTTTTGCCACTACCACCCTGTCTTGATTACTGTAGTTGGGCTGATTTTTAGTCCCTGCTGTTTCAGTTTTTTCCCTGTATGTCTTATGATTCCCCACCTCTGTCTAGTCTGGCGGCATTTATATATTATCACAAATGCTATGCTTTCATCTGAGCCTGCATGGATAAACACTGGCAGTTAAAATACAAATACTGCAGACCTTTATTTGTTTTATTTTGTTCATCACACTGTACATTTATCAAGGGCAAGAACATGTTTTGTTTCACTGATTTATTCCAAACATATTTTATGTTAATGGTCTTTTCTCTGAAGTTCTCTTTTCTAACTACAGGATAAAAGTCATCCTAATGTACCACCAGATGGTCTCTCTTTAAAATCTGTATCCAGTTTAAATATCGATCATCTTAGAATGAGAAATGAGGAACGAATGCGAAGATTGAATGAACTTCAGAATAAACCTATCAATACAGGTAAATGGCCAAGTTTAATGGCCTAGAGTGAATTCTGTAAGCACTCTTAAACCTGCTTACTGGAAGTTTTCACTGATGGCTGAGGGACAGATGGAATATTTTGAAATCCTTTGAGTTGTAGGGCCTAGAACCTACAACTTATCCAGCAAACCAGGACTCAGGATTAATTTTACATCAGATTCTTTCTACCAGATAGGGTACTCATTTTCAGGTGGGTTCTAAACAGATGAAGTTTTTGCTTATTAAATATATCCAGGCTTTGCTTTCAACAGGGAAAATGCACATTAGTATCAGCATCTCACTTCTCTCACTGAAGTGAGAGATTAAAAGAAATTAACTTTAAAACTTTGAGATCTTCAGATAGTATGTCTATTACAAATTTGTAGTACTACAAAGAAATTTTTTTTACCTTTTTATTTGGCTTTCTGTACCATGGACAAAGCAAAATAGCCTCAGATTAATATTTGCTTTTTTTATAAGTCAAAGTTTAGTCTTCTCATTATGTTGGCCTTCGCTGTCTCTTATTGCTTTGGTTGCCAGCAGGTTAAAGCTTGTTCACCAAGCACGGGCAGGCAGGATGGTTCCTTAGGCAACTAATGGCTCCTTCCCCAGCCCTAGACCACCTTTTTTATGTCAGTGCTATTAGTCAGGACAAGGGGACAATTTTATAGTGATGAGTCCTATTATTAGTTTTAGCAAATTGTAGAGTGTTGTATCTGGACAATTCTCTTTAGTCTGTTAAGCTACATTACAATAATTTTCTAATGGCAATTTTCTTAAGATATTTTTAGATCCTACTTTTAATAACTGTGTTAATTTACATCTGTACTCATATAATCTCTAGCAGTTAAGGTGTCTGTTCTGATGGTAGTAATTCCATACCAAATACCAGCAACCATGGTAACTTGATGGAGCAGCACTTCTCATAGCATACCTGGGGAAATGGGGAACAGGGGGAAAGCAGTGCTTTCTTTTTAGCTAAAAGGAATTCTTTTTTTTTTTATAATTCAAAATTTTTTATTTGTATTCTAATTTGTTAGGAATTTTCTTTTAATCTATACTGAGAATTACCTGTTCCTCAATTTCTTTTAGAGCCAATAAGTTGAATTAATATTTAACAGTGATATATGTAAATTGAGAGAAGATAGAACATTTTAAGAATCTACTCTTTCAGAAAATTTTCAACTTCTAAACTTTTTTTTTTAACACTGTCCTTTCAAACAGGAGCTTTTTGATACGATGTGGATTGATTGTTCATTAAATTGATTGCACATATCCCTTTGCTGGGCTAATCCTTCACAGACCAGGAGATGTACTAATAATAATAAAAAAGAAATTGACATCACAGGGTAGGAAGACAGATTTTCCTCATGTTCTATCTAATAATAAGTAAGACAGATATGGAAGTTGAGTATAATCAATTCAATTAAATAATGAAACATAAATTAAGAGCTACTGCTTAATAGAGTAGACACAACCTCTTAGATTAGGTGTAAGAATGGAAGTAGTTTCCTAAAATGACTTGTAATTTCCTTACAATTATAGGTTGGGAATATTTGCAAAACCTTCCTTGCTAAATTAAAAAAAAAAAAGGTTTTGCGTGGCATCCATTCAGTTTCTCCTGAAGGTGACACAAAGCAAGATTGGATTGCCTACACTTCTACTGTCAACTTAATGTTTGGCGCAGTCTCCTTTGCTATCCTTGGAATCCCTATGGGTGCTGGTACCATGGAGTCACCTTGTTCAGTTTATTTTTTGTTTCATAAAATCTGCCCCTTCCTGGGTTTGCTTTCCTACCTCTAAAATGAGGGGTCTGGACAAAACAGTACAGTTTAGAACATAATATTGTGGGGAAATGGAGAGCTGTAATGGGTTAGACTACAGGAGATGTGTTCGCATCACCTGCCTGCCACCCATGTTACCTGAGTCACGTCTGTCTTGCCTTTTTTAGATGACGAAAGTTCATTGGTTGACCCTGATGACATCATGAGGCACGTGGGTGATGATGGAACAAACTCTGTAGCAACTGAGCCCTGGCTCCGCCCGGGCACCTCAGAAACACTGAAACGATTCATGGCAGAGCAACTGAACCAGGAGCAGCAGGAGGTTCCTGGAAAACCAGGCACTTTCAATTGGCAGGGCCTGTCTACTGCACACGGTTAAAATAAATCTGTATTGGACTCAGCAGTGCCTTTTAAGGTGAAAGAAATGTTAAATCTGAACCTTTAATAATATGTGCTACTTTTGGCTCCTAACCTGGAAGTTACTTATGTTCCATCTGTATATAAGGTATATTTTTCCCATGATGATGTATATGATGTCCATAAATAAAAGGCCATGATTATTAATGTCTATAATGTAGAATTATATAGAATTATTTTTTGTACTATTTTGCCATAAATTAGGGTGGCAGTGAACTCTTGGAATCAACTACCGTATGTGCATTAATTTAAATTCTGCTTGTCAGTAAGATAAGGTGAATAAAACACAAGTGTCTTAACAGTACTGTAAAACCAGACTACCCCTTGTTACATGTACATTTGCCATTGTTAATGATAATCAAAATAATTCATTTAGTAAATACATTGGGACTATTCCAGTTGCTATGTAATGAGAGAATCAAATGGGCTAGGCATTTCCATGTCATTTATAGCTACTGAGTCATATGGAGTCATATGACTCCATCATAAATGATGGGAGTCATAACTGATTTTATTCCCACGAGCCGTGCACTAAATGTTACACCTTTCTGCCTCTATTTTTGTGCCAATGAAGGCATTAAGATGACTAATTTATATGATTTAACTACTTCTTGATAGAAATAAATTATTTTTATTACCAATGTTGATTTCTTATTTTAACTGGAATTGAGGTTTCTAGACACAGTGTTTTAGAAGTTGAAGAGGCAGGAACACCCAGGGGTGAAGAAGGACAGAGACTGGAATCCGTGCTGCACCACCCCGGACCCCTGCATAAGTGGGCGGTCTTTCTAATCAATCAATCAATCACTCCAAGAGGTATCTTCAGAAAAGGAAAGATGAATTCAAATTCTGGGAAATAATTCTTAAGAGTCTTTCTTTAGCACCACAACAGCTGAGAGCACCCCCAGTGTTCCACTGACATAATTAATGGCAGACAAGACCAGATACATTTATCTCAAATGTGAAATTTCTCTATTTTCAATTTTAGCTGCATGTAAATATTTTTTTATATACAATTTTGTAATCTAACCATTGTTTATTTTACTGTAAAGATTGTTCTTATATCATCTATCTTCATCTGAAAGTAAGAGGAAAGGCTTGTCTCCTCTCGGGAGAGTGAGTCCTGATACTAGACCATAAAATAACGAACTGCCAGGTCATTTGAAACACTTACCCCTCAGCCTGGAAGACCTCGGTGGCTCCCAGCTCTAACATCCAGCTGAGTGTGAACAGGGCTGCATCTTGGGGGTAATAAATTATGGTGCGCTTATAAATGCATTGTTCAGTAACTGCTCATTATCTATCTGAGGGGTGTGAGAGCAAAGACGACTGAACACTTCTCCTGTCTTTTAACACAACCCTCAAAATAAATCATCTTGATGTGTTCCATTTTCCTTTTTAATGCTGTTGTTGTAACACACAACTTGAACTGCCTCCTAGGATACACAATGCCCCAGTGCAAACTGCCCCGAAGGGAACTTGAGCTCCTTCAGCATTATTCTAGGTTAATACACAAAATATTTATTATGAAAAGCCTATGGTTGAGAAAGCAGGGTGTGGGGGAGGATCTAATGCCAGACGCTGTTAAGAAAACATCAGAATTAAAGAATACTGAATTTGTAGGTCTGGCTGAAAATAGCTTTTCCTCTTTGTTTGGCTTTTAATGAAAAAAGTGAAGAATCAATGAAACATGGGGCTGTGGATGACACAGGTTTTGATTGCACTGATGAAATAATCCAAAAACTTTATTGACCTATAACCTGATTAGAATATGCCAGATGAGAATCAATATTGTACAGAAAGTTGTACAGAATTTTTTACATAGAAAACTTTACATCTGTACCATATACATTTTATCCATCTGAAAAAATTTTCTACATCCACTGTTAATACGGAATGCTTGACAATCTTGTTTTTTTAACCATCAGAGCACAATTCACAGTATGAATACATTTCCAGTAAATCTAACCTCCCCAAACCATGCCAGATTTGTTATTTTAATATATTCAACATTAAATTCTGTACAGAGAGTAAAATCTACACCAAGCCCCTCCACCCAAAAGAAAAGAAAAGAAAGTGACAGCAACCTAGATTCATTTTGCAGTGATTCAAGTTTCCGTCCATGAAGGATCATTTCTATTTTAATGGCTCATCTTTAAAAGCCCTAAGAGAAGTATACCACAGGTAGTTACGTCAGTGGGGATATTTTCTACCTTTTTGTTGTTGTTGTTGATCTTAACAACTGTCAGCCACAACAGCTTCTGGGCACATTAAACCCTCAAAATTACCACCTCCCCAGAAAAGGGCAAAACCAAAATCTCCACAAAATAAAAAAGACAAAAAAGTTCAACCCAAATGTTTAGTGCATTTGACAAAATATTATAGGTATTTAGCAAATGAATAAGAAAATAAAGAAAACAGTGCAGGAAGAACTATATAATGTTTAAGATTTTTATATTACAGACCTGCATCTCTGTACATTTTTCACAGAAGGATGATTACCAGTATCTCAGATAGCCTGAGTGTGCAAAAATCTTCAGAGTAAGAATACCATAGTTGCTAAATATCTTTTACCATGAACAATAATTTCTTCTTCTCCCCCCACCCCCCAATTATAAACATTTAATCCTTCAAAATACAGCTCTCCTGAGTTGTACTTCTTGCAGAAGTTCAAATCTTTACATCTATAGTTCTTTGGGTAAGTTTCACTTCCACACCTGCCAAAATATACGTGGTGCTCTCCCTACCGCTGAGGACAGGGAAGGACACATGAGCATAAGCTGATAACTGTGGCAACAGGCTTTCTGCTCAACACGAGCCCAGCGTGACAAACAGAATCCATCAGATAACGAAAAGGGACTGGAGCACTGCCAAGTTTCAGTTCTACTTCTAAGCATCTTTACCAGGAACCCTTAGACACTGCAATCAGAAAAACCATTTTCAGGTAGGAAACCTCAGCTCCAGGGTCCTTTTAAAGAGCGGAGGGATGTAAACGCCAACAGAAAAATATTAAGTTCCCATCATTGCTTGTTTAGTCCGAGTTCCTGCTCAGGTGGTTGTGATATCTGAAAAACTACTCCGATTCGCAGAAAAAATCTTCTAAGAACAGCACGAAGTTCAGGAATCAAGTCAAACTGCATAATTTCACATAAGAGAGGGTAGTAGAACGATGCATGAGCTTTAAACTGGGGGGAAAATGAATTTCTCCATTAGTAGTGCTCGCATTCAAAACCTCACGCTGCCCTTAGAGCCAAACCACTCTGGCGCACGCACTGGTCTCCACACACAGAGGAAAGGCGTCTGCGTAAAGCAGGGATTATACTGAATATGGAACTGAAAGACTGAGAAGTATTCAAGACACTCTTAATACAAGCATTAATCACTTAGCTAGCCTTATTTTGAAAAAAATTTTCTATTACATTTCCTTGATAAACTTAAGACAAATTTTTAGTATTTATCATTGTTTTTCCTGGGTAATAAGCAAAAGAAAGAAGCCAAGCAGGAACCACAGTTGAGTTTTTATAAGCTCTGGGTTATTGAAACTCTCTCTTATTTGTTAAGTGAAATTTTAATTTTTAGGGAAAATTCTACCTAATATCGCAATATAAAATACGCAGTCTCCAGGCAAAGATTATATATGCCATATTTATATTTGAATCCATATACATTGTCTCTTTGCTTTGTAGTTCCTTCATCTCTGAACACTAGTTGCCTGTTTTCTCTCTTTTTCTGCTCCCCGCACCCCACAAGGTACAAGGAAGCAGGATAACATAGTGTCAAGAAAGCAAGCCGTGGAGTAAGACTGGGTTTGGAGTCCTTCCCAGCCACACGGCTGCTGGTACCTTAGGTCACTTGTCCGAGCTCTACCTGGCCCAGGAGTCAGATGGAAATGCGTGTGGACCCCGAGCACATGACTTGGGATGAACATCTGTACGGTACTGAGTGCATCGCACAGCGCTCTGGGGTCCCATAGGCCTCCATGGTCCGAAGTGTCAAATGTCAGGCCACCTGACTAGGCATTTTTAAACCTAATCAGGGATCATGGCAACCACCGTTTCCATTTATGTCAGCTGTAAGTTGCTATATTTTTTTACCTTTTTTTTTCTTTTGAGGAAGATCAGCCCTGAGCTAACATCCATGCCAATCCTTCTCTTTTTGCTGAGGAAGACCGGCCCTGAGCTAACCTCTGTTGCCAATCCTCCTCCTCCCCGCCCCCCGTTCTCCCCAAAGCCCTAGTAGATAGTTGTATGTCACAGCTGCACATCCTTCTAGTTGCTGTATGTGGGATGCTGCCTCAGCATAGCCGACAAGCAGTGTGTCAGTGCGCGCCCAGATCCGAACCCGGGCCGCCAGTAGCAGACTGCGCGCACTTAACCACTAAGCCACGGGGCCGGCCCCGCTATATGTTTTTAAAGAGTGAAATGTGTATTTTTGAAAACTTTAAATATGTATTTATATTTACAGCTATATATTTGTATTTTATCTTTATTTCTACTAGTTTAAAATTCTTAAATGAGTTTATGGCCTGTTTGCTAGGGGCTCTGGGTCACATGGAACCAATAAAAATGCCAAAAGATGGCTGAAGCCCAGATGTAGCTTCAGGTAGGGGGCAGAGCGCACTTTTCAGAATGGGGCGGAAGGGGAAACTTCAGGGGTCAGAATGGGAATTGCAACGTGTTGGGGAACCCAGTAGCTTGTCAAGGTGTCCTAAAGGATTCGGATTCCTCCCTACTGAATCTCCTACAGAATCAGTGATTAGAGAACAAAGTGGGGTAAGGAGGGAGAAGACTGAGGGCCAACGAGGAGACAGAGGGAGGCCACGGGGGTCCGGCACAAAGCAGCAGTGTGGCCTGGGCTTTGCTTGCTCCACCGCTCAGAGCTCCTGGGCAGCGACTCTGCAACCGCACATGCTCACCTCCCACTCGTGCGCAATGGCGGGCAGACTAGAAATGCTGGGCCAGATAACAGTGTCTCATACTTACCCTATTATCACTTATCTTTAAAACTTTAGTTAGAAACAAAAGCAGTAAATTAGTCCAGGCTTCCCGATGACTTTCCGACGTTAGAGTAAGGAAGTAACTCAGAGCTTCACTGCAGACACTGTAACAGAAAAGGGGCACTTTACATGTGCCTGCATACCTGCTGGTACGGACATCACAGAGAACAACAACTGAGACGAAGAACGTAGTAAATACTCGCTATTAGGAACTTGCTAGATTCCATGTGCTTACATTAACTGGAGTGTCAATGGAAACATTTATGTTTTTCAAATTAGGAAGAAAACCAAACACTAAAAGAAGCCATTGCAACTCATCAGAAAATCCACATTTTCCTAAGTTTCACTGAATTCAAAGCTACTGTACAGTAGCACATACACAAGCCTGACGTCAAGACCTGGGCTGAAATTTGGGGTGGCTCCTCCTCTCACTAATTCTGAGGGTTTAGACTCTTCTGGGCCTTAAGAGTCTCATCAATAAAATGGGAAAACTGGGACTAGGTGATCTCTTCAAATTCTAAAATGTATGTAACTGGTCTCTGAGAACATCTATTCCCCAATTAGACACAAAAATACAATGCAGCTGATAGTATTCTTTCTGGATGGAATGTTTGACTCTTAGCATGAGTTTAAATGTTAAGGGACAGAATCTTAAGTTGTCATTAACCAGAAATAGAATGCAAAAAATGTATCACCAACAAAAACTCAAAATATTTTTTGAAACTAAATGCAGGCAGCCAAGTTTTCACTTTCACAAATGACCGATTTGTAAAAATAGAGCTATCTGTGGCGTGAAAAAGGCCTGAGAACTATAATATAGTTTGAAGTTTTTAAATTCTAAGAGAGAAAACTTTCTCCTTTGTCCTGGAACAGCAACAACAGACACGATTTGTTCATAATGTCACTAACTGTGCAAAAGCACGTTTGCCTGTAAGACTGTATTTAATTTTCACCATCTCTTCCTTATGCCCCAAGTTATCTGCTTAGTCCTGTAGCTTCTAATCAGGGGCCTGGGACATGGACTCTGCCCCCAGTGCAAAGCTAGTGGCCCTTTCCTGCTCAGTACCATCAGTCACACGGGTCAAAGGCAGAAACTTAGCCAAGAGTCTTACTTTAAAAGCCTTTGCTGGACCTCCTCCCAGGCACTAACGCGGCTCTCGTCCATGTACATCCGGAAGAGAATGCGCAGCCCACAGGCCAGGCTGCTTGTCTCCTGCTTCAGAAGGTTGGGTTTGGATTTGCCTTTGAAGCCTGAGAAGGGGAAGTTTCAGGATTAATCTGGGAAGGCATCTTACATAAAGGCAAAATAGCCTGTATGGAGGCACACGCTGAGTGCGTTCAGCTGTCACATCTGCTTACACAGCAGAGCTGCCCTGAGCCACAGCAGCCTGCTGGTGACCAGGGCCTTGCCACCCTTGAAGTGGCCCAAAAGGACAGGAGTCACAGAGAAGGCACGCCCCGAGACTGTACAGGGGAGGTGACTTCTATGTTTTGAATTTCCTCCCCTTTCAAGATGGGGTTATGAAATACAAAACAACTTTTGGCCTGGGAAAGTGGAACTCTTCAAACGAAACTGCACTTGAACGCCCCGTACAGCCGGCAACAGGCTCCCAACCAACAGGGGCAGGTGAACAGTTACAGCAGGGAGCCGTGTGAAGAGCCCAGCACAGGTGAAAGGGGAGTCTGGTGACCTTAGAAGGAACAGTCCCAGTCAAATGGTGGCAACAACCTGGGTTGAAGAAAGGGGAAAAAGAAGTAGACTACTCTCTTCAGAAGTCAGGCTGCAAAGGGAAGAGGATGAACCAAGCCATGGGCTTAACTCCAAGTTTAAAGAGACATGTTGAATTAAATCAAATACGCAAATGGAAAGCACCCAACACTCCACATGACAGAGTTTGATGTTCAGTAATCGGGCACTCCCTTCTCCCTTCTCCTGCTGCACTCTGCTGCCTCTCACTCTTCCAGAACTATTTTGTACCTAACAGGTACTGAGTAACTATTTCTTAAATAAAAAATTAACAATGTCAGTATAATTAATTATTATAAAGCTTGTTTTTTTATTTCAATTTTCCAACCTGTCCTAAAATAAATATACCTCCTCACTTCAAAACACTCACTTCCATTCTGACATATGGCATGTCAAATAACAGGTTGATTAAACCAGGGGGAAACAAACCCACGGAGGCAGTTATTTGGTTTACTGTAGACCAGAGAAAGATCTGGTGGGTAGACTGCCTTTCTACTATTATGTTAAGGTAAAAGTTCATACACAGACCTGAATTATACAATCAACGAATTCTGGTAAAAAGTAAACACCTATTGTACATCCATTAACGGTGAACATTAAATGTGAGACCCGCGCAGCTTACCTGCTTTCCACAGAGCAGTCCTCTGTTCATTGTTGGAATTAAATGCTTTTGCAAATCTGTGTGACTCTAATAAGCAGTCCAGTAGCTTAAAAAGTTGTTGTGATGTTAAAAAGCGGTACATTCCTTGGTCTTGAGTATCAACTCGAACATCAAAGTCCACGGCATCTCTCTTTGGAAAATAAACCACCACAGCGAGCGCACATGCATGCGCGCGCGAGCACACACACACAGAGTCACAAATTTTAGTAAATTTAGAACTCAATGCTCCCGCAAGACCAGTTTTACAAGCCATAGAATTTAATCTGTTCTATCTCAATAGAAAATAGGAAAAGGGCCATCTTTTGTTATTGAATTTCTAGAATCTTCGTTCCATGCATGCTAGTCACCAAGCACCACCTCCTGTCTTTCCAGTTCCCTTCTCACGATGCCTGACTCCAGGAGCTCTGCCCCTACCAGCCCATACAGCCATTCCCCCACTCCTCCTCACTGTGCTCACCCCTCAGGTCTTCAGTGCTCTTCTTAACCAGGTGGGAGTCCACGGACTGCGATTATAATTATTCTCTTGCTTAACCCCTCACCTCCCCTTTTTAGTAACTGGCTGCAAAACGGCCTACTTCACATCTGCACCCACACAATAAACAGGACTGGAGAAGAACAGACTGGTTTCTCTTGAACCCAGTGGGCTCTGGGTCCTGCCCAGCAATCCTCCTGCGCTTCCCCCGTCCACTTTCCTGGACGACTAGCTCATGTTTTCACTTCTCTCCTCAAGTATCTGAAACCTTTGCAACCTCACCTGGTAGATGACTTTTCTTCCTATCTTAGTGAGAAACCAGGAGCTATCAGAAGAGATCTCCCACAAACTCCCATCAGCAAATGGACCAAACTTCCTGCATTTATAACCCATACACTTTTGCTTGCCTTCCTGTTTCAATGCATGAACCATCCTGTGCTTCTATTCAAGACAGCCTCCCAGGGACTTGGCAGTAGGTGTCATCTCCATTCACTCAAAAAGATTGCTCTAACAACTGTCCCTCCCTCTCTGCACTGTTTTTCTCTCTCTCCGGGAGAACTCTCATCAGGGGACATGCTGCAATTCTGCCAGTCTTAGAGACAAAACAAAGCAAACCCTCGTCTTGACCCCCCTCATCCTCCTCCAGCTATTACCCCATTTCTCTGTACCCTTTACAGCAAAACTCCTTGACAGAGAAATCAAAATTGGCTATCTGCAATTTCTCTACTCTCTTGTATCCATTACAATAATGCTTTTTTTTTTTTTTTTTTTTGTGAGGAGATCAGCCCTGTGCTAACATCCGCCAATCCTCCTCTTCTTTTGCTGAGGAAGACGGCCCTGGGCTAACATCTGTGCCCATCTTCCTCCACTTTATATGGGACGCCGCCACAGCATGGCCTGCCAAGCAGTGAGTCGGTGCGCCCCCGGGATCCGAACCAGCGAACCCCGGGCCGCCGCAGCGGAGCGCGCGCACTTAACCGCTTGCGCCACCGGGCCGGCCCCTACAATAATGCTTTTATCGTTAACATTATAATTAAACACAACGTCAAGGTCACTAAAGTCCACAAATTGCCAGAGGGCAATTCTCAGATGGAATATTACTTGACCTATGGAGCATTCTGACAAAGTTGACCACAACCTTTTTCTTAAAACATTTTCTTCTGGCTTCCAGGACCACCCAGTCTCCTGGTCTCCCCCTGCCCCACTGACTCTTGTTCTCAGACTCCTGATCAGCTGCCTCGTCACCAGGAGCTTGGGCCCTGACCTTCCTCCCAGCTCTGTCCACACTCACTGCCTTGGTGATATCGTCCAGTCCCAGGGTTTAAAATGACACCCATGTGATGAAGACCCCCCCCCAATTAAATCTCTAGTTTGCCCTCTGCTTGGAAGCCCAGCCTGTTACAGCTGACTTCCTTCTCAACAGAACAGCGGCCGTCCTCACGCCGCCTTACCTGTGCTGCAGCTAAGTTTTCCGCGTCTTCCTTCTTACTTGTGGCTGGGAAGAACACAATGTTGTCGATAGTCTGGATGAGTTCCAGCTGCACAACACATTTAATCAACAGGGCAGCAAACAATTTTTGTTCTGGAAATTCTGTGAGGAAACCGACCCCAATGCACATGCAAACAAAAATTATTTTGAATCCTTTATAATTTCTATGACATTACAATGCTAAGGAAACATTAACATGTATGAAGATAACTCACACATATCACACTGAGGAGGACACACTGCTTTTACACATAAGCACTACTCAGTAAAAGTTTAATCAATATTTAGAAAAGCCTTAGAAAATTACTTTTTATATAAACAAAAATATTCTAAATGACTTAGAACACTGAATATGTTCAAGAAAGTTCCACTACAAATTTTAAAATACAATTTAGGTTATTCTTTAATAAAATTTAACAAATGGATTGAAAGCTAAAACTTTAATAGCATTTACTGTAAAGCCAAGTTTGATCTTTGAAATTAGGTAATATAAAAACCTAAACCAAAAGAAAACAATAGGGGCCAGCCCTGTGGCGTAGTGGTTAAGTGCACGTGCTCCGCTGCTGGCGGCCCGGGTTCGGATCCCAGGCGTGCACTGATGCACTGCTTGTCAGGCCATGCTGTGGCAGGGTGCCGTATAAAGTGGAAGAAGATGGGCACAGATGCTAGCTCAGAGCCGGTCTTCCTCAGCAAAAAGAGGAGGATTGGCATGGATGCTAGCTCCGGGCTGATCTTCCTCACCAAACAACTATCTACTGGGGCTTTGGGGGAAACACTGGGTAAGTAAAACTAAGCAAAAAAAAAAAAAAAAAAAAAAAGGAAAACGAGGAACTGGATCTGTGAGACAGGAAATGAGGGACAGCCAAGAATTCTGACAAATGAGGCAATATTGTGGGTTAATCACAGCACATGTTTTATTTGGATCCAGGTTAGTAATTGTAGCTAAAATGACCTCAAATTTTCAAATGGATCCATAAGCAATCTATAAAAAGTTATGCTAAGCACATTCCTACCAAAGTAACCAAAATGCAAAGTCACAAAAGTGCTCTCCACGTCGCCCTGTAGCTGAAACATAACTACCTCCCTCTATCCTGAATAAATGAGCTCAACGGGGCGTTTCTGACAATCCACCAGCCTATAAGGACATATTTGTAGAAGAATTTTCCATTTCACTGACCATCCCAGTAAAACAAAGGAAGACGTGCAAGGTTAGGAAGGATGGCTCAGCTACTGAAATGCTGCAAGAGCTCGGCAGCGTTGACACAGGGCTTCATGGCCTAGCCCCAAGGCCACACCTTCCTCCTGGGTTCTCAGGGGCAGCTTTCCAGTGAGCTTTTCAGGAGGCAGAAGACTGCTCAAGGGGAGCTGCCTGTTCATCAGCCTCAGGGCAATGACTCCAGCACTGGATGACTTCACAATCCTTCCATTTCTTTCTACTTTTGCTTTTATTACCAGTTCCTTTATCTGGCACGATTATGGAAGCTAAATTAATGTTTTGGGGATTTGGGGGAATAGCAAAATAAGTTGCTTAGTTAAATTTATTCTTATTTAGGTTATTAATAAAGGTTCCTTTCCAGATGGTCTTCATAAATACTCCTGTATTTAACACTTAGTTCTCAGTACTAGATCTCAAGTCAAAGAATCAAAGAAAACAAAGAAACCCACAAGTCCCAAGGCTGTCTCTTCCTCTTAAGCATCTCCTTCCTAGTCTTTTACCACAGTCACAGCCAACACGGACCAGTCCTTCATGCACCTCTCTCATTCAAGTCAGGAAAACATCCTCAGCCCCTGCAGCAAGAGACCCCTGGCAGCAACCTGGACTCCGAGGGGACCTGGGAGCAGGCTGAGGTCTAAGGAGACGCATTCTCACCAGCTCCAGGGTGTTAGGAGCTTTCAGCAGAGTGAACTGTGAGTCTGGCCGATGAGGCTCCACTCTGACTGAACTAGGGGAGCTGGGTCTCCCCACACTTTCCACTGTCCTTTCAGAACTGGAGGATGAGATTCCTAACTTCAGTCTCACTGGACTGACAAGGACCAGCAGCATGTTTGGAGATAATATTTATTTGAACAAATTGTACTCATGACAAGGGTCGACAGAGAGGGTTATACTAGGCAACCATTTCACTGGGTCACTAAAGGATAGAGAGCAAAGCTAAGCGAAGATTAACTATGTGGGACAGCAGGTATAGAATCTGGACTAGACAGAGCAGTGGTGTTCTCTGAAAGTGTGTAGAAAGAAGGAGAAAGCTGTTCTCTGGACAGGGCAAAGTACTCAGGTCTGTGCTGGTGATTCTTTTCTCTGAGGAGGAGAGTCAGAGAACAGACACCTCCTCACCGAACAGAGGAACCACAAGCTGCCCAACAGGTAAAAGGGCTCACAGGAGCGTGGTGGCCACTTCTTCTTCCTCCAGCCCCACCTATTCTGAGTCAACAATTCCACAGGGAACTTTTCCTAAAAACCTTTAAGGGGAGTGAGAGCAGGATGTCTGGAAGAAGGAAACAAGACTGAGCCCTTAGCTCAGGGTGGCAGGGGAGCAGCACTCTTTGCTCCAGTTAAAGGAATATTCCCAGATTAGCCAAGTGAAAAACTTTCTAATGTGTGATGACCAAGTCTTTCCTTTACAAAGCTTAGTATATTTAAGTTCAGTCTTGGAGCTGAGAGAGAAAAGCCACTCACTCTTCTGCCCTCATGGCATTTTCCAGTACAGAATGAAGCTGTTGGTTTCCGGCATAAGCCATGCTGTTCTCCAGAGAACAGGAATGAAAAATGAAAATGGGCCACTCGTCACCATCCAGCTCCCTTTTAAGAAGTTAGCAAGACACAGTGACTAAAGCTAGAAGCTCCTTTCAAGTAGGATACCAAATCTGTTGTCTTTAAAGAACAAATATAAGCACCTAGGATTAATAAAAAATTCCCTGAAAAAAATTAACTCAAAAATGGATCAATGACCTAAATATAAGAGCGGAACGTATAAAACTCTTAGAAGGAAACACTGGGGAAAATCTTCATGCCCTTAGAACTAGCAAAGGATTCTCAGCTATGACACCAAAAGCATGAGCAACAAAAGAAAAAATAGATAAATTGGACTTTATCACAAAAACTTTTGTGCATCAGAGGACATTATCAAAGAAGTAAAAAGATGACCGACAGCATGGGAGAAAAAAAATATTTGCAAATCATATATCTGATACAGGTGCAGTATCCAGAGAATGTACCAAATTCTTATAATTCAACAACAAAAAGACAATCCAATTAAAAATAAGCAAATGACTTGAACAGATATTTCTCCAAGGAAAAATATACAAATGGCCAATAAGCACATTTGAAAAGATGCTCAACATCATTAATCATTAGGGAAATACAAATCAAATCCACAACAAGGTACCACTTCACACTTACTAGGATGGCTATCATTAAAAAAAAAAAAGAAAAGAAGTGTTGGCAAGGATGGGGAAAAACTGGAATTGCTGGTGGGAATGTAATATGGTGCAGCCACTGTGGAACACATTTTAGTGGTTCCTCAAAAAGTTAAACATAGAACTATCATACGACCCAACAATTCCACTCCTAGGTATATACCCAAAAGTATTAAAAACAGGTATTCAAACAATACTTGTACATGAACATTCACAGCAGCATTATTTATCATAAACAAAAGGTGGAACAAACCCAAATGTCCATCAACAGAGGAATGGATAAACAAAATGTGGTATATCCATACAAATGACAATCAGTCATAAAAAGGAAAGAATTACTGATCCATTTTACAATGTAGATGGACCTTGAAAACATTATGTTAAATAAAAGCTAGACATAAAAGGTTCCATATTGTATGATTCCATTTACATGAAATGTACAGAATACCAAATCCAGAGACACAGAAAGCAGACTGGTGTTTGCTACAGGTTGGGGAAGGGGAGAATAGGGAGGAACAGCATAATGGTGATAAAAATGTTCTGAAACTAGATAGAGGTGGTGACTGAACAGCATTGTGAATGTACAAAATGCCACTGAATTATTCACTTTAAAATGGTTATTTTTGTTATGTGAATTTCACCTCAATTTAAAAAAGCAATTAAAGCTGTCCTATTTTCCTCTAGGGAAGAGGTAGACTTTCCTTGGTGTTATAATTTTCCTTCAGTACACAAAACTGAACCAATTTAGTAAAAAATAGGAGTTCCCTTTCTTTGTGAAAAGAACTAAGAAGGTGAGGGGAGGAGCAAAGGAGACATGGGTATGGGGCAGCAGAGTATAAAGAAGGCTTGCTCCTCAGAAAGCAAGGAGCTCCTGCATAGAGAGCACTGTCCCCTCACTATCTCCCCTCACAGAGCGGTAGGCCCATCGGACCCACTTCGGCAGAAAGAATATGGGGCTGACATGCAGAAGGGGATGGAGAGGGAAGACTCTTGTGCTTGACACAAACATGAGCTGAAGGCATTGTCGACAAAGCTGGTATTGCAGGTGTTAGCCGAGTTCCTGACCATCTGCAAGAGCATCTATCACTCAGGGGATGTCCAAGTTGGAGCAAACACAGTAACGAAGCGATCATACGATCAATTACAGTGTATGTTTGATAATAAAAGTAAAAGCAAAAATTTCATCCCTTTCTCACATAAAACAAAATACACAATTTTCATTAAGAGAAACAACTCACTTGCTGTAGGTTTAATTTTGCTGACTTCTTCATTCACAGTGGAGACAGAAGCCAATGGTGCTTGCTGTCTATTATCTGCAGATCTTGGTTGAATAGAATCATGGATATCTACAGATTTCTGTGATATTGTATCCTAATAAAATAAAAAATTCATTATAAGTACAATGAATAAAGCTTAAAGGTGAAAATATTTCCTATTATGCCATTTAAAAAAAAATTGTATTGTATCCCTATGAAAATGACATTCTACAAATTGTGATTATAGACACAAGGAGAAAATTATTTAAAATTACCTATACATAGATAAGAGCTGAGAGTCTTTAAGAAAACAGCTTCCTTTCTGACCCTCATTGGGCTCAGGCCTGATATCACCCAAGAGCAACAGATAAAAATGCTAAGCTTCATTGTGTGGAAAAACTAGTCAGCAATACCCATGAATTGTCACGAAATCTAAACAGACATGTGGCAGAGACAAGAGATTTCTGCAAGCTTTGTAGGGGTGAGTTTAGGGAAGGATCTTCTGTCACCCAAGGCATCAGGGACCAGGAAGGTCAATACGTTGACCAACTAGGAGTGTGGTGTCATGAAGGGAAGTCAAACATTCAAGTCCAACAGAGCTACACCAGATTCACTTTTGGCATTATTAAGTGTAACCTTGAAAAAGCAATGAATCTTCCTGAGCTGAGGTTTTCTGATCTGAAAATGGAGATGACACTTTCCTTGCAGATTGTTAAAGATTAGATAATAAATGCAAAGCACTAGCACAGTGTCAGACAATACATAGTAGCTGACGTTACTACTATTCTAGCTTTATTTTGTTATAGCAGTATGGCAGTCAGAGAAGACAGAACTCGGTTTCAAAAGGAACTGAGAATTCTGATGTCTAGCTAGAAGCAACCTCACCTGTGTTGCTAAAAGGAAGAGAGGGCCTATGTTCCCAAGAAACAGTGCTAATCAAAACAATATTTTAACTTGGACTTAAAATATCATAGTTTATGATCTTTCATTTCCTGTTTTGTATAAAATGGGGATAACATATACCAAACCTGGTTCAAAAAATTGTTAGAAGGATCAAATGTGAAAAAAGTTTTTAAACAACAAAGCACTACACAATCTAAAGCCATATTATTATTGTCATGATTGTTCTTATTCATCTTTATATTTGTCATAAGTGTTTAACATTTAAGAGGCTTTTAATAATAATTATATGAATACAATAGAGTATTTGGGTAATTAATTTGACCATGACGGCCTAAAATACATTTGAAAATAAAAACTTAAACATGAGAATGAACATAGCAACACTTATAAATTTATAAATCCTTTAAGGGAATGTTTATTGTAAAAATTAACTATAAAAAACAATGTCTCTTTTTGACTTGCACATTTTAATAAGCATACATTTTATTAAGTATATTTTAAGGAAGAAATTAACCAGTTGATAGAATTACAAATGTATTGCCTTACTGAAGATAAATGAAAGCATTAGTTTTTAAATTTTTTTGGCCATTAGCTCTTTTGAACATTCTGATGATTTCTAAGAAGCTTCTCCCCAGAAAATGAAACACACTTGGGGGTTTGAAAACTCTTCTGTGTATTAGAGGAATTTGTTAATGTTAGGCATACTGCTTTCTCAATTTTTCTGATTAATCAATGTAAATGAGAATGATTTTTTTGTAATCTTTTCATTTTTTAGAACATCTCTTCACTAGAATTAGTATGCCCATACCTCCCCTTTAAAAAGGACTCTTTAGTGGAAAAGGAGGAGTTCCTATGAAAGAAATCTCTACATGTTGATGTGGAGACATCTCTTAGACATTGTAAATACAAAAAGTTAATTTCCAAATTAGATTCCATTTTTTAAAAAACTACATATAATTAATATTAATTACATAGGTAAATTACAAAAAACAGTTGGAAGGATATACACCATAGTATTAAATATTGGAGTTGGGATTGAAGGAGGTAGCATAAAAAGGGACTTGCATTTTTTTACCCTATATTCATCTGTACTGTTCAAAAAATTTTTTACAGTGATTGGGTATTTTTCTATTTCTAATTTTTCAAAAGTAGTCCTTGCGTGCACAGCAAGAAATAATTCAGCTGAGCACGGCAATGAGGAAAATACCACAATTTGTTGGCAAAATATAAACAGTACAGAGAGAAAGAGGAAGAGGAAGAAAGGGTGAGGAAGAAACGAGGGATATCAGCAGTGGTGGCGGCAGCAACGATGGGCGGATATTGAGAGGCCAGAAGCAGAGCCAGGGCAGCTGCAGCTCTCAGAAGCAGCCAAGCAGAGAGCCAGCCTTGAGGGGCACCACTGAGCTCACGTCACTGAACCCAGCAGCAGACACAGTCACCAAGCACTCACCCTGGCACACGCGGTTCTAACAACTGTACATGCATTACCTGATCTAATACTCATCACCAGACTCACCTTTACACGCGGTTAAGTGACTTGCAGAGGCCACAGAGCTTAGTCAGTGCTGAGCCAAGATCTGATTTTGTGTCTAGTATCAAAGCATACACTGCAAACTACTCCACTATCCAGCACAGCTAGCAAAAACAAAAGCCCATAAGGCAAGGCAGGGACTGGGCCAAATTTCAGAAAAACAAAAACGAGAGCAAGCTCATCCTGGGCTCAAAACAGGACATCATAAGTGGTGGAGTCTGTGATGAATGGACAGATCCTGCAGATCAGGTTCATGGAGCCACGTGTGCCCAATATGCCAGATGTCACAGTTCTCTCAAGAGAAATTCAGAGTGGTACTTTTCTGTGAAATCTAAGTTTTAGCCACTGACAATTAGCTAAGAAATTTAAAAGTTGTGGGGGACAAATCAGATCAGTGGGCACTAATTTGTTACCTCTGGCCTCCTGGGTTTAGAATTCAAGGATATTAGTGGGAGAACAGTAGAAATCTGAATAAGGCCAGATCAGATAATAGTATTGTTTCAATGGTAATTTCCTGATTTTGTCAATCACAGTGTGGTTATGTAAGATATCTTTTTTTTTTTTTTTTAATGAAAAACACACTAAAAACTTTCGGAATAAAAGGGCATCTTATTTTAAAATTACTTTCAAAGAATTGAAAGAAAAATGTGTGAAGGTGAGGGGAGTGAGAGCAAAAGAAGGAAGGAGGAAGGAAGTAATAAAGCAAATGTAGTAAAATGATAACATTTGGGGAAACTTGGTGTGATGGTTAGCTTTATGTGTCAACTTGGCTAGGCTATAGCATCCAGTTATTCAATTAAACACTAATCCAAGGGTTGCTGTGAAGGTGTTTTGTAGATGTGGTGAACATTACAGTCAGTCGACTTTAAGTAAAGGAGAGAATCCTCGATAAAATGGGCAGAGCCTCTTCGGATGAGCTGAAACGCCTTAAGAGCGAAAGAGAAGTTTCCCTAAAGAAAGAGTTCTGCCTGTGGAGGACTGCAGCTTCAGCTCCTGCCCAAGAGATTCCAGCCTGCCCACCTGCCCTAGAGATTTCAAACTTGCCAGCTCCCACAATTGCATAAGCCAATTCCTTGAAATTAAAAATAAAAATATATAGAGATACATATACATACATACATTATACACAAACACACATCCACATATATATGTATAGAAAGACACAGACACATCTCTTACTGGTTCCATTGCTCTGGTAGAACACTGACTAATACAGATTTTGGTACCATGAAACGGGGTGCTGCTATATAACAAATACCTAAAAATATAGAAGTGGCTTTGGAATTGGGTAATGGTAGAGGCCAGAAGAGTTTTGAGGCATACGACAGAAAAAGCCTAGACTGCCTTGAAAAGACTGTTGGTAGAAATACGAAAGTTAAACACAATTCTGGTGAAGATTCAGAAGAAAGTGAAATGCATGGCAGAGAAAGCTTCTATCATCCTCAAGAATATATATGGTCATGAATAGAATGCCGATAGAAATATGAACATTAAAGGTGCTTCTGGTGAGATCTCAGAAGGAAATCAGGAACGTGTTATTGGATACTGGAAGAAAGGTGATCCTTGTGATAAAGTAGCAAAAAACTTGGCTGAATTGTGTTGTACTAGTGGGTGGAAGGCAAACTTGTAAGTGATGAACTTAAACATTTAGCCGAGAAGATCTTCAAGGGAAGTGTTCAAGGTGCCACTTGATGTTCTCTTTGGTGCTTACAGAAAAACGTTAGTATAAAGAGGCGCGTTGAGGAAGGAACTGTTAAACAAAAAAGAACTAGCACTTGATTTGGGAGGATGCTGACCTATCCAGATTGCAAACGATGCTAAAATTGGGAAATTGATTGTTATGAAAGCATGCTTTGGCTGGCTGGACAACTTTTTGCTAAAGAGATTAGGTGTGTGACTAATGGATCCAGGCAAACATCTCAGCAGAAGCCAGGAATAGAGCTGGGGTTATCCAGGATGGATCTGTTGACTACCCTCTTGTTTAATGGTGTGAATTCTCTTGACATACACAAGAGAAGCACAAGGATTTTGAGAATGATATACCAGCAGAAACACAGCCAGCCTGGAATGAAAGGGACAACAATGGGATAAAATGAAGTAAGGTTATCAGACTTCTGGGATTCTACAGGCAGGAAATGGGCTGATAGAGCTACTTGGCTGCAAACAGGTGCTAACCTTTAAGAAAAGGAAGAATGATTGAGAAGGCAGAGCTGCATGTCGAGAGGGAGGAGCCACGGGCCCAGAGGGCAGAGCATCAAGCCACAGCAAATTATACTTAGGCCTTGAAACTTAATGAAATTTGCCCTGCTGGGTTTCAAACTTGCTTAGAACCAGTGACTCTTTTATTCTTTCCAATTTCTCCCTTTTGGAATGAGAATGTCTATCCTATGCTTGTCCCACCATTATATTTTGCAAGTAGGTAATTTGTTTTCTAGGTTCACAAGTCCACAGATGGAGAGGAATTTTGCCCCAAAATAGACCACATACTTGATCTAAATGACTCAGATGATGAGATTTGGGACTTCTGATATGATGATATTTAGATGAGATTTTAGACTTAGTGCTGATTCTGTAATGAGCTAAGACTTTTGGAGATGTTAGGATGGAGTGAATGTCTTTTGCCTGAAAGACGAACATGAATTTTTGGGTGCCAGAGGGTACACTGTAGTGGGTTGAATAGTGGCCTCAAAAAGGTTATGTCCAAGTCTTAACCTCCGGTACTTGTGAAGATTACTTGGAAATAGGGTCTTTAAAGATGTAATTAAGTTATGGATATTGGGATGAGATTGTTCTGGATTTAGAGTAGACTAAATCCAATGATTAGTGTCCCTATAAGAGAAAGGAGAGGCAGATTTGACACACACAAGATTTGACTTTACACAGCCATGTAACGATGGAGGCAGAGATTGGAGTGGTGTGTGCACAAGCAAAGGAATGCCACAGGGTGTAAGCAGCGAACAGAAGCTGGAAGAGGCCAAGAAGGATTCTCCCTTAAAGCCTTGGGAGGGAATGTGGCCCTGCTGATGCCTTGATTTTGGACCTTTGGCCTCCAGAACTGTGAGAGAATAAATTTCTGTTGTTCAAAGCCACTAAGTTGGTAGTAATTTGTTATGGCAGCCCTAGGAAACAAATATACTGGGTAAAGGGTGTATCAGAACTCTTTTTACTCTTTTTGTAACTTTTCTCTAAGGTCAAATTATATTAATATTAAAAGTTTAAATAAAATAAGATAATATCCATGGGGCCGGCCTGGTGGCACAGTGGTTAAGCACGAGCGCTTCAATGTGGGGGCCCGGAATTTGCAGGTTCGGATCCCGGGCGTGCACTGACGCATCACTTGTCAAGCCATGCTGTGGTGGCGTCCCATATAAAGTGGAGGAAGATGGGCACAGATGTTAGTCCAGGGCCCATCTTCCTCAGCAAAAAAAAAAAAAAAAAAAAAAAAATAGAGGAGGAGTGGCATCGGATGTTAGCTCAGGACTGATCTTTCTCACCAAAAAAAAAGATAATATCCAATAATATCTTCAGCTTGGCATGGAAATCTTTACATAATCTGGTACCTGCCTCTTACAACTTTTGAAATCATTTTAACTCTATGTCTCAGACCATCTATATTATAAAAATAATTTAAAATACCTCCTTCATGGCACTTCTGTAGGCACCTGGGAAATTTACCATCATGAAATTTAACCTTAGAATTCTGGATAATACATTCATACCATCTTTTCAAAAGAGCTGGGTTCATATAAAAGAATTTGGCCCATGGTAAAATTACTTATCATAAATAATCAAATAATTTTAAATATTCTTTCTTTATTAAAACTTACCAACTGTTTTTCACTCACAGGAGACGGAGGTGGGGGAGCCATTTCTCCAGAAGTGGGACGCCAGGTCAAGAGCCTTAAAGATATCAAAATCACACCAATCACTGAAAGTGTAAAACATGCCAAATCCAACATGTATTGAAACGGGCACCAACAAGTCATAAGAATATATCACAAACAACATATTCCTTCTTTGACCACTGCTAAGAGCAATTTGCTGAAAAAAATCTAGTAAAAAAGTTTAAAATACGTACTTCCAGAAAACAATTGACTAGCATTTAATATAATTAGAAGGGTACTCTGGTCATCAATTTTATAGTAAAAAAAACTCTTCTGGAAAGTTCAAAAACTTCAAACTCATTTTTTCTAAGTATTAATGTTATTAAATATTTTCTAAAGTGAGAATGAAAAAAGTTTGAGACTTTTCAAAATATTCATAGAACTTTTTAGATTCCATTTTTCAAAAAAAGTATGAAAATAAATAAATTTGGCCCAAAAGAAGAAGCTAACTTGCCACCCTTGGATTAGGTCCTTGGGACAGAAAGATAATTAAGGCCCAAGTTCTTGCTTCTGAGAAGTAGGAGCTCCTGGGGAATGGGGCAGACAGATGGTAAACACACTCTTTCAGTTCAATATGGAAAGAACTCTGGTAGGGTGTTTTCTATTAAGACATACTTAGATGATCTTTAAGTTCATATATCTTATCTGAGTGTGTAACTAAATAAATTAAAAAACAAAAGTTCATAAAAAAAAAAAATGTTCAGCCAGACTGGTTTTTATCAAACTTCACAGGGAAAACAGCTAGGCAAGCATTCATATTATCCTTGACATAAGGGCCACAGATAAATTCTGACAAAAAGGAATCATTTGTTGGTTACACTGCTGCAACAAAATGTGCACCAAAACGTAAGAAAAATTGTCCAACTATTGTAAACAGGCCAAGGGGATTACTGCGTGTCCTCTTAGCGTAGTCCTCTTAGAGACTGCTTTCCTATGGGTGTGTTTCTTTTGTTTGAATTCCTATTTCCTACTGATTAAGATATTTACAAGGGGATCATATGAGCGCAAACATATTTAACTCATGTTAAGAAAAAGTTTGATGCTTAAAACTCTGGACTGATAGTTTTCATATATAGTTTTGTCCCAGTGCATACACATATGTTTAGTTAATAAGATGTTTTAAGTAAAATTTAAAACATCTTTTTTAAGTAAGATTTAAAACATATTAAGGAGATTTAAAAATCGTAGCTCTAAGGTAAAACTGTGCGCAGGTCAGAGAGCCCCCAAGGTTGAGCTAGGAAGTAAGTTCAAATCTGTTTTACAAATAATCCAGGTGCTATCAAGCATAATTTAGAGAGACTGTATCTTAGTTTCTCCGTTGATAAAAAACTCCTCTACAATTCAATTCCAAACTTATCCCTTAGAAAAAGACGAGAATTGTAAAATACAATATTTGCAAATAAATTTTCCTTAGATTATTAAATCTACAGTAACTGAAATATATTGAGATTTTCTTTTTCAATTCAAAGAACCACTGGTTGGTTTAATCTGGATAAATAAAATCTTATAAAATCACTTCATAACCCCCATTTTGGATGATCAGACTAAAGGTTTGGTTTATAAGGAATTTTAATTCATGTATTTGTTATGGTTTACAGGAGTTTGATTTGTAATAAATACGAATTCACGGAACACTGAGATATTTTTAAAAGGATTTCCATTATGAGAAATCACTAGTTACTATCAAACCTTTTAGGTCCATCCTTCACTATACAGATATAAAGTGGTATAAAATCTTCTTACGCATGTGGGATTGTGGTTTTGAAGATATCCAGTGTGCAGTTACAAGTTTTATCCCAGATTTCTAGGGTAAATTTTTCACCATTGAGAATAACAACATTCTCTAAGCAGTTTGTACCAGATCGTGCTAACTGCTCATTATCTAGAAAAGAAAAGAACAATTCATTTAGACATTACCAGGATCATATTTAACACTTTATGTCACTTAATCTGGTACAGACCTACCTTGCTGCACACACCAGTATAGCTGGGCAAAAATATCATCCAAAAGTACATCACTGAGTACTTCTAAATACTGGGTGAATACATCACAGATTGCATAAAGTGCATGATTACAAGTTGTTGTCATCCATTCAGCTTTCTAGGGTTAAAAAAAGTCGGTAAATGAAGGTCAGACCATTTATCAACTATTAGAATTAAAAAAGAAATACACTTTCATACTTAAAATGTAAGCCTGTCCATGTTCCTTTCAGAGCACTAATTCCCTCTAGAATATTACATTCACCTCAACTTAATATCTGATATCTATTTCTCGTCATTATCCCATAATCACCTATGTAAAAAATAATTTAACTATTTTCTGCACTATTTGTTTTGATTATTAAAAACTATCACTGCTGCACTGTCTTGCTATTAACGTTATGACTTTTGAAACAATATGCATGAAGACCAACAGTTGGCCTTGCTCCAAAATATGTGAAAACATGAAAGAGATATAAAGAGGAAGGAAATGATAAGAATTTACCCAAGTGGGGCTGGCATAAGTTTAAAATAAAACTGACTTTCCTGAGGTATGGTTACTTGAACACACCATAAAAGGTGAAAAGGGCCATACAAAATAAGTGTAAGTAATTTCTTTATTTTTCTCAAATACATAAAGGACTAATCTGGACTGAGAGTATTCACATTGAGCTTTGTGCCAGTGCATACACACATGTCTACTTAATAAGATGTTTTAAGTAAGAGTCTACTTGTAGATTTAAAAATTGTAGATCTAAAGTAAAACTTTGTGCAGATAAGGAGCCCCCAAAGTTTGCATTTAATACAACTATACGGGATAAAACAAAAAAACCTGAAGTTCTCTCCCCACACTTAGTGAAATGCATCCTGTACTTGGTTTCTAGTAAAAGACATTCAAATAAATAAAATAAATAAAACTTTTTACTCGGTATTCTTTATTCAATTCAGAATAAGAAGTCATATATGAATACTAAAGGAAGTTACAGGTGTTTATAGTTGTGACAGTATCAAAATGAGGAAAAGAAATTAGAAGTTCAACGAAAACACTGAAAACAAATATTCAATTCATTAACTCAGTGCTACCCCCAAATAGCATTCTAATTTATAAAGACATACTATTATAATGCCTTGAAGAAAAATTTTCTAGAAATTTTTTCTGTTCAATGTGCTTAATCTGAAATACTAAATAAAATGTATTAGGGAAAATATTTATATTAACATTAAATATTAAAATATTAAGAACCTTTTAACTTGACTATATTAAATGAAAATTTTGTGTTCTCTTACCTCTGTCTGCTGTTCTGGCAATTTCATGTTGTCAAAGATTCTGAAAACAATTCTAAATAAATCCTGCCACCAGTGTTTTTCGTAAGTGTGGCCATAAGTTTTCATTATTTCAAACATTACTGTTAAACCCCTAAAATGATAAAACATAATTAGGAAAGCTATAATACAAAAAAATCATACCACATCAGAACTCCCCTCCTAAAAGTCTTCATAGTTCACAAAGCTACTGAAAACAAAGTTTATAATTTTTATTTATTTATTCTTTTCCCCCAAAGCCTCAGTAGATAGTTGTATGTCATAGCTGCACATCCTTCTAGTTGCTGTATGTGGGACGCGGCCTCAGCATGGCCGGAGAAGCGGTGCGTCGGTGCGCGCTCAGGATCCGAACCCGGGCCGCCGGCAGCGGAGCACGCGCACTTAACCGCTAAGCCACGGGCCGGCCCTGAAAACGAAGTTTAAATCTGGTTTTAAACTAGCATGTCATACAGAGTTTTAAGAAATTTAAGTTGCAAAACAGGTTTCCTGAGGATGCATTGTTTAGGGAAAAAACTCCCAAGGCCATGGCCTTAAAATTTTTTCTTTATTTTACTTTTCCTCCACTCTCACCCCATCATTCTAGCATTTTAAAATTGTAAATGGAATTACAGATTGAGAAAGATCATCATCTGGGTGAATATTAACTTTGTGGCACTGTGGCCAAGGAAGAAAGCGCATCAATAACTGTCTAAGAACAAATAAAAATTATATTTTGTAAAATCTTTTTTCAAAGAGCTATAGGAATTTTTAGCTAACACCATAACTGTTCATATAATATCCTCAAATAAAAAGATTTATAAAACTAATTCACTAAAACATTCATGTAGGCAGGGTCTGTGTCTGTCTGTTTCCTGCTGTATCCCAGGCACAGAGCAGCACTTGTCACCAAGGAGGCACACAGTAAGTATTTGTTTAATGAATAAACTGTTTAGTATCACATTCACTATCTCATGAATAAGAGTTGAAGCTAAAACTTAAAATTGCCTTCCGGATTTCTTATTATCTTTCTTGAAATAATAATACCTTTATGTAACCATTAAAAAGCTTAATCTTTTCTCTACATGTTACTTTCTTATAGCAAAATATAGGTATCCTTAAATATAGAGGAGGTTTTTATTTCCAAAAGTCTGATGGTAAGCCAGAACAAAATTTTCTTTGAAAGGCTCCTTAGGGACTGGTACACAGTCTAGCTGATTTGTGGCTATGCTACCTGCCAGGCCTAGTACATGCCTGGTACATAGTAGGTTCTGAACAAATATTTGTCAAATGAATGTGCAAAATAACGTTACGGTAGTTCAGTCCTACGGCAAGTTCACAACACTTTATTTAATCAATAAGATACCTAATGAGTAAAATGAGCAGAAGTAAAGAAACTCCTGTGGAAGAAACACACTCTTCCCCAGGAAAACCCTGACAGGGTTCCTCATTTTCCCCTACAACGGAACAAGGTTCCCTCTTCCTCCATCTCCTGAGCTCAAAATCCATTTCTCCTTCCAAGTAACCCAATGCTAACTCTGATGGCTGAGAGTAAGGGAATGTGGGAGTCCTGTTTCTTCCAGGCCCCCAAAGCAAACACAGATCTAGAGAGGTTTCCAAGGATTTTTACTGTTGAAGAAGTCTTTTTTAAAACAATACTTAAGTTGCTGGTATAGGGAAAAAGAACATTTGGGATACTAGGTTAATTATTTAACCCCTAAATCTACAGAATTTTGAGGGAATCAAATGAGAATGCATTTGAAAGTACTTTGTAATTAGTGTGTTATACAAATCACAGTGTTGCATTTTTTTTTAAATTTTATTTATTTATTCCCCCCCGCCAAAGCCCCAGTAGATAGTTGTATGTCATAGCTGCACATCCCTCCAGTTGCTGTATGTGGGACATGGCCTCAGCATGGCTGGAGAAGTGGCGCGTCGGTGCGCGCCCGGGATCTGAACCCAGGCCACCAGCAGCGGAGCACGCGCACTTAACCGCCAAGCCACGGGGCCGGGCCAGAGTGTTACATTTTCAAATGTAATCTAAATCACAGCCCTTACAAATCCTGGGATGGAGTAAGGAAAAAAAGCCACCACTGAACAAAGTTTACTCATATTTTTCTTCTCTTTTACTAACTAGAACACATTATTTGCTCTTCTCTTTAACAAGTAGAACTCATTCATAATCTGAACATGGGACATGGTGAGAAGCAAGGTAGTGTGGTCCCAGACAAGGACAGGCTAAAAGGCTAGGAAAGCAGGTAGGTCCCTTGTCAAACAGATGTCCACAACAAATAAACAAGGGCAGGGAGGGGATGATGAGTTTACAAACTTGTCAGTCATGACATGTTAGCTGCTCCACTGAGGTGGCTGGACATCTGAAAGTTGTAGATTTAAATCATTTAGATTTACAGGAACTGGGGGCTACCTTGAATTTCATCAAGTTCCTAACATGTCCACTGACAAAAAAATCCTCAGTGCCTAAATGCAAAACAAAATGTATAATGTTCTTGTGATTACTAAATTCTATGACAAATTCCCAAGGTTTGAGTCCTATTTTGGATTATTTATCTATTTCACAAAAGTTTCTGTAATAACAAATAATACAACAAAAATGAAAAGTTTCTGAAGACATAAATCAAACTTAACCTTGCTTGGGGGTAGGTGAGATTCTGGCATAAAGTAAGAAAGGAGAGATTCATTTTTTCATTAAATTTCTATCACTGATTTGTTACAAGTCTGTACTACCTTTCTGATTTAAAAAAATCCAACAAGATTAATTCTTTACAATGGATTATATATGTTAAAAATCTATCTAATAATTACTAATTTGATAAAACACATGATTTATGGCCTTTAACTATCGAACTTGTGTTCACATAGGAAAAGTTAAGTTGATTTAAGTCAAAATAAGAATTTCAAAATTTTAATTCCAAATACTGATGGTTACCTGGTTCTTACATCTAATTTGCATCTATTGATGATACAGGATAACTCAAAAAGAATTGGGAACCATCCTCTCACCCACACCCTGTCTTCAGGTGCCACATTCATATCATCACTTGTGTATTCCTTGAAAGCCTTCAAGAAGAAAGATAGGTTTATTAAAGGCAAAACATAATACTTGTACATTAAGCATATTATTTCTCCAACAATTTTTTAAATGCCTTATAAATCAAAAGTGATAAACAACAACAATTTATAAAAAGATGGAGATTATAACTGCCTATGAAGAGCACTGGACTAGAACCCAAAGTTGGTTTCAGCTTCAACTTGGTCACCAGCTTTCTGCATTATTAGTCAGGTTAAATCAGGTCTCCGTTTTTATTATTTATACGGTTATGACACCATGCAGCCACATTAACCACAGTGGGGAGGTGTCAAGGTCAAAAGAATCGGTGCATGCAAAAGCACTAAGCATTCCACAGGTCCATGTCAGTATGCAGTAAAAACCTTATTACCGATGCATTGCTTCTCCTTATGATAGTTACAAAGACAGATTCAGATATGCAAGCTAAAGTTGGCAGCCAGGTTGTCAATTCAACCTTTTACTTCAGCACTTAAGTCTATACTCATCTACAGTCAACTTTAGTACTGCAGAGCACCACAGGGCAAGAAACAATGTAGAGTAATGGCTACAAACACAGGCGTGGGTTCAAACCCTAGGTCTCCTTTACTAGCCTGTAACCATGGGCACATTTTTCAACTTCTTTGTGCCTCAGATTCCTTATCTGTATCGGGGTATAAAACTACCTATCCCATAAAGTTGCTATGAAGATTAAACAAGTTAATACACACAAAACACTCAGAAAAATACCCAACACCTTCAATAAATGCCAGGTATCATTACTAACCATTTTAACTCAGAATCAAACTCAGATAATTTTTGGGTTTACTGAAAAATAAACGCTTCATATATCCTCTCAATTCCTAAATAAACTTAGTTCTAAGACAAGAAATAAATACTTAGTAAAATTTTGTTTACTAAATGATGCTATACCTGTGGTCTATCAGACACATATTTTGCACAATGGCGAATAAGTCGAATTGCTTCCATACTTGTGTCTGGGAAAGCTGCATTGCACGCAAATTCAGACAAACACTTCACTGCATCCTGGAAAGAATCAATGGTCGCTGGAAAGTGTTTTTCAAACACAAGGGCTAAAAGGGAGGAAAACATACGAAAATAATTATAATTTTTCAATAATTCTTAGTTGTACCAAAAATAGATCAACTTCTAGACGTAATGCATACTTCTTAAAGGTTAAGAGTTTTCAGGTCCAACAGACATGAGTTCAAGTCTGTCTCAACCACTTACTAGGCTTCCTTGAGTAGTGGGGACAGGCTAATAGGTCTGTGTTTTGTTTATACTATAAACCCAGCACTAATACAGTGAACTGGTACACAGTAGGTACTGAACCAACAGTTTTTGAGTGAATATACAAAACTACATTTCATCCCTTTGTATCTCAGTTTCTTAACCCATAAAATGGAGATAACAACACCCACAGGATAATTGTCAGCACTAAATAAAATGTAAGTAAAGTGCTTAGAACAATACTTAAGCACTCAATAAATGATAGCTATGATGATGTCATTATTCTTGATGTTGATGATGATGATGATGGTGGTCATCTTTACCTTTAACTTATATTCTTAGTATTTCATTCTCCCTTACAGTCAAAGGAGGCTGTGCGGTGTGGTAATCAAAAACAAAGGCTTTGCCTTAAGACTCCCTGGCTTTGAATCCCAACTCCATCACTCACTAGTTCTGTGCCCTTAGGCAAGTAAGTTAACCTCACTGAGGGCGAGTTTCCTAATCTATTTTTCAAAAACGGATAATAAAGATACTTATAGAGTTGCTATGACCATTGAAGAAAACATGAAGTGCTTACAGTGCTTGCCATATAGTAAACATTCCATAAATATTAACTATAATATAATAATAATATCATTATTTACTCTGCTTCTGTAGGCAAAACTTGGTAAACTTAAAGCCAATAATAGGTCCAGAATCTTATACCTAAATTATCTTCTAAACACATTCAAGTTTTTTTGTTTTTTGTTTTTAATGCGAACATAGCTAAAAGAATACTCACTGACAATGTGCCCTGTTGTTTGAAACGCAAGTTCCACTATGCTCTCATCTTGATCAGATGCAGCTAGATGAAATACAGAGAAAATGTTCTTCCATCCAGACCGAATGTTAGCAGCTTGAGAATTAACCATCTGTGCTATACACCGTACAACCATATCTCGAATTGTTGGAGACCTAAAATATTTATATAATTGCTTAGATATCTATATGATTAAACTCATCAGTTTTTTTCCTTTCTTCTGTTTTTCCCCCTGCTGTGGAAAATAATAAGATATTTTTCTGAAATTAAGCAATTCAACAAATGTGATACCTGTTCCGTTTCATTATATGTTCAAAAGGTCTTAAGAAATCCTTCTGAAATCTGAAATTAGCAAGCTCCCCTTTCTCTAAGAACTTCATTGACAGTTGCCTCAAGGAGTCTACTGCAAAAATAGCTACATCTTCATTAGGATTACAGCCAACCTGCAATGGCAATAGAAATATAGGGCGCTTAATGTCAGCAGTGAAAATCTGTAATTATTTTTGTTTTAGAAAAAGTATATAATTAATAGCATAGATAATAAATCCTGATTCTCCATAAAGGCACTAGGTATGCTAACAATATTTTTCAACAAAAAAAGTATATTTTAACTAAATTCTTAAAACCTAGAGCAATCATTTCTAAAAAGAAAAACAGGATTCAAAGGATTTTCCAAATTTAATTACAAAAATGTAATGAAAAACTGCTTGAAAAGGAAAAAAGTCTCAATTAGATTATGATAAGGAAATTTTTAAACAACAAAAAAATATTAGAATGTAAGCAAATCCTGTAATTATTCAAATACCTTATTAAAATGATCTCCAATAACTTCCCAAATTCGAGACCACTGCAATCTTATTCTTCCCATGTTGTAATATGATATTTCTACTATTTTTTGTAGACTAAACATCCTTGGATGAGTAGTGGAAAGTAATTCATCCATAGACACAGCACAGAGCCAACGGACAAAATCCACTATAATATAAATAGATTTATATTTTTTAAGCTTAACTTGCAAGTCTTTTAGACAAAAAGCCAGTTTATAAGTGGAATAAATGTACATACTTACCAATAGCATTTCCATCTAGCCTTGTAGACCCTGTAAATATTCTAAAGAAAAAAAAGCATAATTCAAAAATTTATAAAGTCTCACTTCTGTTACATCAATTCAAAAGTAACTGGCCTGGGGTACCAGCTACTTTTATCTGTTTTAAGGGAACAAAAAAATCAGGTAGTCAAATGAATATTTCCTATCATATAGTTTAGTACCAAGTAGAGTTTGGATGTTCCTCCCCTCTTTGTTTACATTGAATAATATATTAGAGTAAGAATATATTGCTGTAATTTTATTAGTAAATTTACAAACACCAGATACATATCTTATGAGATTCTAAGAATAAGAAAAGTATTATTTGTAAAACTAATAATTGGCACACTATAAAACAGAAGATTTTCAATCTTTCCCGATTACCTACTAGCATTAACCATGTTCTTAAAATGAAAAATTCTACTTTATTTTTACAATTAATGTACATTTGATTAGGAAGCTCATTTACATTAAATTACAAGTGATTTAACTGAACCTTGCAAATAGTCTCCAACATTGTAACCAAGAAGTGGCTGAACGACTCCTCTCAGGGCATTCAAACGTTTAGAGTTCAACTATGCTGTCCAACTTTGCCTCGCCTTCTTCACTGAGCTCTTTTTCCGTGTGTCAGAAGTTTCATTAAAAGATTTCAGTATAATCATATTAGTCTCCTTTTCTAAAGTCTGCATTTTTACCCATGTTCTGGGTTTGTGACCAAGAGTCTGATGTCACTTCCGGGATGAACTGATATTTCTTAATTTAAAATGTACACCATAGGATTTGCATGATAAAAAAGAAAACTTAAAGGCAGCAGGAGGTCAAATATTAAACTTAGGAATAAAAGTAATCACAGTAACAGCAATAGCTACCAACAATCACAGGTGGGTACTATTCTAAGCACTTTATGTACACCCACTCATTTAATAATCACAAATACCCTGTGAAGTACATACAGGCATACCTCGAAGATACTGCAGGTTTGGTTCCAGACCACCACAATCAAACAATTATCACAATAACGTTGAGTCAAATGAATTTTTTGGTTTCCCAGTACATATTAAAGTTATGTTTAAACTACACTGTAGTTTATTAAGTGTGCAATAGCGTTATGTCTAAAAAAACAATGTACATACCTTAATTAATAAATACTTCATTGCTAAAAATTGCTAACCACCATCTGAGCCTTCAGTGAGTTGTAGCCTTCAGGGTCTTGCCTCGATGTTGATGGCTTCTGACCGATCAGGGTGGTGGTTGCTGAAGGTTGTGGTGGCTTTGGCAATTTCTTATAACAAGAAAACAATGAAGTTTGTCGCATGGATTGACTCTTCCTTTCATGAATGATTTCTCTGTAGCATGAGATGATACTGGATAGCATTTTACCCACAGTAGAACTTCTTTCAAAATTGGAGTCAATCACAGGGGCCAGCCCAGTGGCGCAAGCGGTTAAGTGCGCGAGCTCCGCTGTGGCGGCCCAGGGTTCGCCGGTTTGGATCCCGGGCGCGCACCAACGCACCGCTTAGCAAGCAATGCTGTGGCGGCGTCCCATATAAAGTGGAGGAAGATGGGCATGGATGTTAGCCCAGGGCAAGTCTTCCTCAGCAAAAAGAGGAGGATTGGCAGATGTTAGCTCAGGGCTGATCTTCTTCGCAAAAAAAAAAACAAAACAAAACAAAACAAATTGAAGTCAATCCTCTAAATCTCTGCTGCTGCTTTATCAAATACGTTTACTTAATATTCTAAATCCTTTGTTGTCATTTGAACAATTTTCACAGCATCTTCACCAGGAGTACATTCCATATCAAGAAACCACTTTCTTTGCTCATCCATAAGAAGCAACTCCTCACCCATCAAAGTTTTATCATGAGATTGCAGCAATTCAGTCACACCTGCAGGCTCCACTTCTAATTCTAGTTCTTTTGCTATTTCCACCACATCTGCAGTTACTTCCTCCACTGAAGTCTTGAACCCCTCCAAGTCATCCATGAGGGCTGGAATCAACTTCTTCCAAACTCCTGTTAATGTTGATATTTTGAGTGCTTCCCATGAATCACGAATGTTCTTAATGGCATCTAGAATGATGACTCCTTTCCAGAAGGTTTTCAATTTACTTTGCCCAGATCTATCAGAGGAATCACAATCTATGGCAGCTATAGCCTTACAAAATGTATTTCTTAAATAATAAGACTTGAAAGTCGAAATTACTCCTTGATCCATGGGCTGCATAATGGATGTTGTGTTGGCAGGCATGAAAACATTAATCCTGTTATACATCTCCATCAGAGCTCTTGGGTGACCAGGTGCATTGTCAATGAACAGCAATATTTTGAAAGGAATCTTTCTCTGAGCAGTAGGTCTCAACAGTGGGCTTAAAATATTCAGTACACCATGTTGTGAACAGATGTGCTGACGTTCAGGCTTTGTTGTTCCATTTACAGAGCACAGGCAGAGTAGATATACCATCATTCTTAAGGGTCCTAGGATTTCCGGAATGGTCAATGAGCATTGGCTTCAACCTAAAGTCACAAGCTGCATTAGCCCCTAACAAGAGAGTCAGCCTGTCTTTTGAAGCTTTGAAGCCAGGCACTGACTTCTCTCTAGCTATGCAAGTCCTAGATGGCATCTTCTTCCAATAGAAGGCTGTTTCATCTACAGTGAAAATCTGTTGTTTAGTGTAGCACCTTCATGAATGATCTCAGCTAGACTGTCTGGATAACTAGCTGCAGCTTCTACATCAGCCCTTGCTGCTTCACCTCGCACTTTGATGTTATGAAGATGGCTTCTTTCCTTAAACCTCATGAACCAACCTCTGCTGGCTTCAAACTTTTCTTCTCTAACTTTCCCACCTCTCTCAGTCTTCACAGAATTGAAGAGAGTTAGGGCCTTGCTCTGGATTAGGCTTTGGCTTAAGGGAATGTTGTGGCTGGTTTGATCCTCTATCCAGGCCACTAAAATTTTCTCCATATCAGCAATAAGGCTGTTTCGCTTTCTTATTATTCATGTGTTCACTAGAGTAGCACTTTTAATTTCCTTCAAGAACTTTTCCTTTGCATTCACAACTTGGCTAATTGTTTGGCACAAGCGGCCTAGCTTTCAGCTTTTCTTGGCTTTCAGCATGCCTTTCTCACTAAGCTTAATCATTTCTAGCTCTTGATTTAAAGTGAGAAACATGTGACTGTTCTTTTCACTTGAACACTTAGAGGCCATTGTAGGGTTATTAATTGGCCTAGTTTCAATACTGTTGTGTCTCAGGGAACAGGGAGGCCGGGGGAGAGGGAGACAGATGGGGAAGAGCTGGTGGGTGGAGCAGTCAGAACACACACAACATTTATTGATTAAGTTCACCATCTCATATGGGTGCAGTTTGTGGTGCCCCCAAAACAATTACAATAGTAGCATCAAAGATCATTGATCATAGATCACCATAACAAATATAATGATAATGAAAAAGTTTGAAATATTACAAGAATTACAGAAATGTGACACAGAGACACAAAGTAAGGAAATGCTGTTGGAAAACTGGCCGCGAGAAACTTGCTCGACGCAGGGTTGTCACAAACCTTCAACTTGTAAAAAATGTAATTATCTGTGGAGCGCAATAAAGCAATGCTCACTAAAACAAAGTATGCCTGTAGTATTATACTCCAAATTTTATAAACATAGAAACTGAAGCAGAAAGATATTTAATAACTTCTTCAAAGTCACAGAACTAGTAAGTGCTAGAGCCAAGATTTAAACCAGGACAGGCAGACTCCACAGTCCACCTTCTTAACCACTTTGCTACACTGCCTCACACTTACCTGAGCAAAACATAATTTAAACACTTAAAACATATTCTAGTTTCTTGTTACTACCACAATCTAAATGTTCTGCGTACAGTATGATGTTTTTAACCTCAGTGCCCTTGAATGTCTGTCAGGTTGTCCTGGCAATGAGTACCAAAAATAAGAGAGGAAAAACAGCTTGAAAATTGACCATATGGTAACTCATCAGAATACGATCTTCTGCTAAAGGAATATCTGGAGATTTCCTATATTGCTCTTGTCAGTAGAACAAAACAACAATTCAAAGATCTGGCTGAAAATATAATCTGGGGGAAAAGACAATAATAATAAGACCCCATTTAATCCAGTGGTTAGATTGGATCCAGAAATTAAAAATATACAATGCTTACAAAACTCTCACATAAACAAAAATGAAAACTGCCAGATTGCACCATAAATCTGATTTCTCAAACTAGAGGTATTTTCATGGGATGCAATGGATCTAAAAAAAACCATACCACAAACAGAGTTGAAACTAACAGTATAGGAGAAGCAACAGCAAAAGGAACAAAAGAACAAAACGAATTTTTTTTTAGCTGAAAAGGAAGCAAATGGCACAGAGGAGAATGGACAAAGAACAGAAGAAGAGATGGAGATTTTATGTAACTACAGGGGAAAGAAGCAATAAATTCTCTGAAGCCAGTGAAATGATGGAGAACAAAGGCAACAAGGTCAGAGAAGTATCATCAGCAATCAGACGGGTTCTGTAGACTAAGGGTGACAGTGGAGGTATGGCGAGCATGCATCCTGGGAAAGGGCATTCAAATTCCTACTCACTTTGGTAGCCTCTGAGGGGTCACTGTATTTCTAGTAATGCTCCACCAAACATAAGCCATATGGTAGAGCACAGTAGTCTGTGGAAGCATTTAAACTTAAGCCTTAGTATACTAAGGCAGGAGAACAGAGCTATGTTTCACAAAATTAGTCTATGAAATGGATTCTACATCCCCTGTATGAAAAGCACAGGATAGAAGCGTGAGAAGGAAAAAAAAAATGATAGATTGCTGCTTCATCCGCATTATAAGAGCAATGCAGTAATACAAAAAAATAAAAAGGTTGACAAAACTTGTAGATTCTGGATCCAGTAAACTTTAAACTGTATGCAACACACAGACAGACTAAATTACTGTATATGTAAAAAGTTTTCACAGTGATAGTATCAGAGGTAACATTTACTTCTGAGACCTAACTGAAAGATATTTATGAGCAAATGCAGTTGGGGATGAGCTGTACGTTTTTTCTGACATGTGAATGTTCCCAAGCACGAGATGGGCCAGTATAAAGCCAGATCTGGTGTGTCTAAAAAACAGCACTAAAACAAAACTATGGTGCTAAGCAACTATTTTTCAACTTTTAGAGGTAAATCATTCCTAGACAAAATCTATCCCTGCACAGTTCAGTAATACTTATGAAATTAGTGTGGTTTAGCAATGCCTAGCAAATTCTACCCTAGCAAATCCTAGAGGATCAGGTTCTCAAGACTGAAGTGCCCGATATTCTCCTAAATTCTAATGGTTAGGATTCCTAATACAAATGTACAGATAATTATAAAACTTTATCTTCTTAAAATTTTTAATAGAATCACATTTTTTCTGTTAAGAAACAGAAGCTATAAATAATTAAGCAAAGAATTATTTTTCATGTTTAGTTCCTATAACTTGTCATAACAGATTATTCAGAACAATAGGCCTAAGGACAGCAACATAACTTTTTTGCTGGACAAGTATAGAACTTTCCAGGATGATGCCTGACAATATTCTCACCACTGCCTTGAATACCAGGGTTATCACTGAGTTAGCTTACGGACTAGAATATTACACATGAAAATAAACTCAGATATTCAGAGAGGAATTCAGAAAAACATTTAATGAGAAAGTGAAATGCACCACACAAGAATAATATAATCTTGTAATAAATCCAAGACATAACTTTTAATTCTTTCACTATAAGCAAAAATTTAAATATTGAGGTTTTGTATAAAATTGTACATTGGATTTATGTTTGTAGAAGTATCTGGTGGTGATGAATGTGAGACGACAAAGTACTAATAGAATTTGTGCTAAGACTCCTCCGAAATGGCATAAATTTTTAAAACAGAAAGGCATATCATTTGTTCAAATGAGTGACATGTCTCCCCATAACTAACACTGGATTGCTGGATAAATTAGACCTGGGTATGGTCATATAAAGTATATTTACATAAAGAAATATATAGGAAACAGAAATAGTAGGTAAAATGTTGATAGACTGCCTCAATAGATTCTCATAATGATAGTGAAGATGATTTTCTGGAAGGCAAGAAAATCTTTTGGAAGAAAGCTACCCTGGTAGCAGAAGGGCAGACATTACACTGCTCTGGAGTTGTACATGCAGGCATAAAATGGAGAGGTTAAGAGTGCACCCTCAGAGGTATGCTGCCTGAGTGCACGTTCTGGCGCCATTCCTCAAAATTCTCCATGAATGAAATGGTTATTGCAATAATCAAGACAAGATTAGCCTAGTTGTGGGCATGAGCAAGTTATTTAGTCACCCCCAGTTTCCTCATTTATAAATTGAGGACAATAACACCCATCTCGAGGCTACTGAAAGGATTAAGTGAAGTAATACACGTAAAGCAGTTTGAAATGTGCCAAGCACATGGAAAGACTTCAAGTTATATAGTAGGTATAAGATCACACACGATCTTCAACCTTCACAAGAAAAAGGCAAATGACCTCCTTCCCCTAACAAAAAAAAAAAGAGAGAGGAAAAAAAAGGACTGCAAGTGGACATTAGGAATTCCTTTCAAGGAAAAAGTGCCAGGGAGTATTTCCAGGGTCAGTGGCCACTGAACACTCTAGTTCTGTCTGTACTTAGAGCAAAAAGTTTTATCTGAAGCAAAGTAAAATAATGGATCAACATGACTCTCCAAGCACCAAGAAAAGATTACATTATATTTTTGAAAGTTTCCATCAGAAGTGGTAAAAAAAACAGTCAGTGATGTAAACTGTTAAGTTTCAATTATTTGGGCATTCATATGAAAAAAAGCTAACCTTCAAAAGAACACTAGTTATTGTTCGACATACTGGGAATTTTTAAAATCTGAAACAAACTAAATATTACATAGTAAAATAAACCATAGTATAGGTTTTCTTCTAGAAAACAAACTAAAAATGAGAAATACCTGGTAATGTATTATATAATATACAAATTCTAAAGACCTTTCCAAAGAAGCTTATAATGAGAATTGCCAGCAAATCCCTTCATTTTACCCATCATGCAGTCCTATATCATGAACTCAGAAAGACAAATTATCCTCTATTTTCAAAGACAGATAAAAGGGGAATAAGTTTTCTATAAAGGAAATAAAACATTTGTGTTCTTTTTCATCAAGGTTACCATTTCAAATGCCCACTAATATCTACTGTAACTTAAATTTTTATACTGTTTAGCTTCTTCCATATTCTATGATCTAAAAAGCAAAATTAGAGGTACCTTATCATCTAAATCACAGCATATCACACAGTATAGTAAGGAAGTTATTTTGGCAATAATTTTTTTTTTTCTTTTTTTTTACTACTGAGGAAAATGTATCTAAATGCTACAGAATTAAAATAGTATTCATCTGAAAAGGGAATAAAATGAATACCTACCTATCTACAGCAACAACAACACTTTGAGAACTGGTTTCTCCAATGGATTCCTGAATACTTGCTATCTGCTTCCAGTCCACATTTCCTCCAACTACCACACAGAAAAGAGAGTCGTTTCAGTTTGAAAATAATTCAGTGGAAGAATACACTTACAGATCTAAAACACATTTCTGAAATCAATTAGTTTCCTAATGAAAGAAATAAAACTTTGGGTGAACGATTCTTTTGGCATCAGTGACCTTTATCAAGGCCAAATGCGCTTAATGAGCCATACTAAGTGGTATAACAGACATAGTTATCAAGACACAAACTGTATTTGCAAAGATTGCACAAATTAGGGGCACTGAGAATTTAGATCACAAAATTAATGACATTAGACATAATTTTCCTTAATGTTTAAGAAACATAGCACTAACTCCAGTTTCAACGATACCTTTTTTTTTTTTTAAAGATTTTATTTATTTATTCCCCCCCCTCCCCCAAAGCCTCAGTAGATAGTTGTATGTCATAGCTGCACATCCTTCTAGTTGCTGTATGTGGGACACGGCCTCAGCATGGCTGGAGAAGCAGTGCGTCGGTGCGCGCCCAGGATCCAAACCCTGGCCGCCAGCAGCGGAGCGCACGCACTTAACCGCTAAGCCACGGGGCCGGCCCTCAACGATACCTTCTTGATTCCCAATTCCATATAATTAGGTCTTCCCTGTCATTTAATCTCCAGCCCCGTTTACAAATGCTTACTGGAAATTCTACCTTGTATGTTCTAACATCCTCTTATTTCTTTTCCTCCAAAAGAGTGGTTCCATGTGTTGGACAGCAGAGCAATTACTCCAGTTTTCAAACTCTTAATCTTACAATCATCTTTGATATCTTTCCCCTCTTCCACTAGTCACTAAATCTTTCTTTTGACCTGGTTTTCATATCTTTCATTCCTATTCAGTTTAGATCCTTACCATTTCAGGCCCAGATTACTGAAACAGTTTCCTGACTGCTTTCCCTGCTGCTATGTTTCCCCTCTTCAATCTCTCCTTCATTCTCCTGCCAGATTAATTTTCCTAAATCATCACGTTCATTTTGCTTACTCTTACTTTCAGAATAAAGTATAAACTTTTTAGCCTAGCATTTAAGGCAGTTCCCTTCAACATTCTAGCCAATATGTGCCTCTTTTCAGGCTATCCCTTAACTATCTAAAACTTATTTACCAAGACCCAGTTTGAAGGATTCCTCTCCATTGTTCTCATCTTCCACTGAACTAAGCGTTTACTTAAGTAAGTACTACTCAAATCAGAATTTCTTTCATGCAGCTTCATATACATTACTTTAGGTGTGCTAATGTTGCCTTCTCAGCCAGATAAAAAGTTCCCTAAGGTTAGGAACCAAGTCACACATATATTTTTGTATTCCTCTACCCTACTCAATATTAAGTCCAAAGCAGATGCTCAACAAATACTTGTTGACTCGACTGAGTGGACACTCAATAAATGCCCTTATGAATGTAAACATAACAGAGGATGTTATTTAAACCAGCTGAAGTCAAATTCTATTCCAGAAACTGAACAACATGAAAAATACGTGATCCCTATCCCCACAGAGTTAATAATTTACCAGTAGAGACAGACTCACAATCAACTTTAATAAAATGTAATGATTACTTCATGGCTGAAATGAACTAACTACATATAAGAAAAGTTTTGCTAAACACAACTAATTTTGATAGGGGAAGGGACAACAGGGGCTGCTAGCTCTTGGAAGTCTTCACATATGATAAAGTATTAATTCAAGTTGGAACTAGAAGGATAGTCATGTGGGAAAGGAGGAAGAAAGAAAAGTAATTCAGGTAGAAGGAGCAGCACACACAAAGTAATGGAAGTACGCAAGTGAACATCATGCTTTAACACACTTGGGTGTCGCCACAATGGAGGATTTGGCAAGGGACAAGGAAGAAGGGGAGAGAACAGCAGTATTAGATGAAGCTGAAAAGACAGACTAGAAACAGAATGTGAAGAATCCTGACTGTCATGTTTAATGTACCACTTTTGAAAACCATTAGACCTTTTAGAAGACTGACACGATCCAAACTATTTTCTGAAAAATAATTCTGGCATTATTTGGAGAACACAGTACAACAGGAAGACATACTGGAGCCTGGGAGAGAAATTAAGAGTCTATTTCTATGATACAACTGAACATGGATGAAAGCCTGAAATAAATGACAGAGAGTTGAGGTGGCAGGGAAAGAGTGTCAATCAACACTTGAACTGCGTAGCGCATTATAGGAATTTAATGAAGAAAAATCTATGAGAAAAATAACGATAATCACCACATAACTGTCTTTGAGTATCAACTGAATGTCCTTCTTATAGAGCTTTCTATACCCTTTATATTTAAATATACTAATTTTTAATCATTAGTAATAAACATATTTAGAGGAATCAAAGAATATATAAAACATTTAGCAATCCAAAGAACCTAGTTCACAAATATGTGAAATCTTTCAAAGATCTGTATGACAGTGTAACATCATAAAATAACTTCAGTTTTACCAAAAAAATTACTCAAAAGCACAAATATTTAGGTTAACTAAGAACAAAGATGTAGGTGTTGTGAATATTCACTTAAGATTTATATGACCAAACCACTGAATTTCTAACCTTTAATATATACCTTAAAAGAACAGTATGCATATAGTTCAAATCTAATAATCTCATGCTATATATTAATAACTAAAGTTCCATGTTTCCGAAAAGTGAAAGTACAGACTTGTATCATATCACTCAGAAAGTCAGATAAATATATACTCAGCCCTATTTTTTTTTAATTTTATTTATTTATTTATTTTTTCCCCCAAAGCCCCAGTAGATAGTTGTATGTCATAGTTGCACATCCTTCTAGTTGCTGTATGTGGGACGCGGCCTCAGCATGGCCGGAGAAGCGGTACATCGGTGCACGCCCGGGATCCGAACCCGGGCCGCCAGCAGCGGAGCGTGTGCACTTAACCGCTAAGCCACGGGGCCGGACCATACTCAGCCCTATCAACTTGGTTACATGGAATACTTAGTGCATGGATGCTGTTAATAAAGGAGGATATTAACTTATTTTTAAGAACCATATATATATATATATATACACACAGACAGACCAGACCAGCTCGATTATCTGTACCACATCCTCTTCTAGCTTAAATTCTGACTACAGCATCCTGCTGAAGAAAGCATCTGTCGTCTAAGTAGATGACAGGGCACAGATGGACAAGGGCGGATATCTGCCACATTGGGCTAGTTGGTAACCAATGAGATGGCCTGAAGGGAGGGCTCTGCCCAACAGGGGCCAAGTCATCAGACTGGCTCCCTTTAGGATGTAGACTCAAAAATGAGAGACCTGATCAATCAGGAGTGAGTGGAGAATGGAGCAGGCCAAAAAGAGAAGCAGATGACATACGAGACAGCCTAGATGAAAGAGAGGTGGAAGAGTATGGCTGGTCGTGTAAGTGGCTTGGAAGCCTGAAATTCTGTTTCATTTCCAGATCCAAAATGTGTCTATTTTTATGTAAATTCCCTTTTGCTGAAGGGAGAAGGCAGGTCATCTCATATCCTTGCAACCTAAGTAGCACAGTGATCGAATTAATTTTAATTCACTTTCAAGTATACTAGTAAACATTATCAGCAAGTATCATTATTTCTCGTCTGACTAAAACTTTTAAAAGAGAAAACATTCCACTGGTGTTTTATTTTTAGTGTAACCTCCTTTTGTTACTTGCCAAAACTGAGCCTTGGCAATTTGCACCTGTCATTCTTTTGGCCCTCCCACACTCCCTAAGCCTTTAAAAAAAAAAAAAAAAGCCTTTCAGAAGCTATCAATGCCCATTCATTTCACTTGCCTGTAAATTTTCTCATCTGTATCTCATGTTACAACCTTCTGGAGTAACTATAGTTCTAATGTTCCGAGTCAGATTTCCAGGTTGCATAAGTCACCGTGCAGGTACTCAGGCAGCTCTAAATCCTGCTGCTGGGTTACCAAGTTATTAGGTCTACACCTGCACCTCCCAGAACCATAGCATCTAAAATATAACTGAGGTACAGACTGCACTGCTGGCTGCCAGCTGGATTACTGGGAACTTAACTGGCCCCAGTCCAACCTGAAGCCACAACATGGTCCTGGTCTTTACTTCTTTCCCTAGAGATCATTTTTCAAGCTTGAAAATTCTTTTGGATTTCCTAAAAATTTTTACTGCAAGCAACAACAGAAAAATCACTAAAAGATAAAAAAATAGAAAATGTCCAGAAATATAATGTTACAGTACAAAGTTTTTAAAAGATAAATATTCCTAAATCTCAGACGTATTCCCTTCTGCTCTAAGTCATGTTTCTAGATTTCTTAGTTGGAAGTAGGGTAAAGATGGATAGAGACTAATCCAGACTCCATTAATATACCAGCCACTGTACTAAGTCCATTTATATATATTCTTATTTAATCCTAACAACTCTGTAAGTAGATCACCATTAGTTTGCAAAAGAGAAAACTGAAGCTCAGAGAGTTAAAATAACTTGCACACAGTAAGGAAGAAACACATAAGAATTCAAACCCAGAAGTACAGTACTCAAAGTCAAAGTCAGTCTAAACTTTACTTCTTCCCTGGTGGTACTCTTTCCTTTGATGACTAAAAATGTATTGTCTTTGGTTATTCTGTATCCATTTCCGCTAATTTTTTCCTTTGTTCTGTTGGGTTAAATATCTGGAAGTTCCTGGCCACACTGAGCACATGGGGAACCATGGCAAAGTTTCCATATTGGCAGAAGAGTTTGGTTAGGTCTGCACAGTGCCTTTAAAAAATCTGAATATGAATGCTTTCTCCAGTTGCCCCAACTATTTATCACCTTGTAGAAGCCTTCACTCATTTAAGTTACTTGTTTAGTCTTAAAAGCAGGTAATTTTATACTACACCCTTCTCTCACTCCCAACTATGAGATTAAGACTAAGGGTCTTTTAATGCTGCAAACTAGACCAGGCAAAAAAGAGTTAGCTCTCTACATAGTCACCTGTGCTTTTCCTCATAAGCTTAGCCAAAAGGCATTTTATCATATCCCTCTAATTATATTTCATCGCTATAATAAAATTACTTATATTGAGCAAGTTAAAAATAATTTTTGATACTTTTTTTTTTTTGGTGAGGAGATCAGCCCTGAGCTAATATCTGCCAATCCTCCTCTTTTTGTTGAGGAAGATCGGCCCTGGGCTAACATCCATGCCCAACTTCCTCCACTTTATATGGGACACCGCCACAGCATGGCTTGCCAAGCAGTGCGATGGTGCGCGCCCGGGATCCGAACCAGCAAACCCCGGGCCACCTCAGCACAGCGCATGCACTTAACCCTTGCGCCACCAGGCCGGCCCCAATTTTTGATACTTTATAAAAATAATTTAAAAAATTCTTACCCAGCCCCAGACCCACAAATTCATCAGGAGCCTGATCTTTTGTTCCAGTTAGAGATCCTTCTCTACCTCTCACTGTTCCAGAAATGTATCGAGGTTTCACTCCAGTTCCTATAAGTTGTGCAAGCTCCAGCTGGCTGATGCACTTCAGAATCTTAATTACGAAAGGAAAAAAATGTTTAATTCCATGTTAGAAATGTTCACAAAAATATTTAAAAGTATGCAGCCAGGATTTAAACATAGGCTACATTATAAATCATTATATATAAAAAGCTAAACGTACTTATTCTGAATGTACTAAATGAATTTTCTTCCAAACACTTAAACGTATCGGTGATAGAATACTTAGCATTAGCTCATTTTATAAACCAAATTGCAAAGTTGAAAATAAAGAAAGTGCTTATACCTCATGCCATGAATTTCCTAAATAATTTCCATCTGTATGAGCCACTGTGATAAGTGTTTTTATTGTGTCAATGTTCTTCTGTTTCATTTCAGTAATACCAGAACTCACTGTAAGTAAGGTAAATCGTGCTAGCGCCTGGACATATGCATCTCTTTCCAGCTATGAAAAAGAGAAAAGTATATAAACACGGTTGTAAACACAATAGAGTGATCTCTAAATCTCTGCTTGCTTGTTTAGTAAGTTTTTAACTGACAAGTCATGAATTACATACAACACCTCAAACTACAGTTTTTTAAAATTTTAAGATGATAAATGAAGCAGCAAAGGATGAATTTCTAAAATTCAAAGCCAATGGAGGTGTCAAATCAAGATAAGATTTTAGTGATAACAAATGAATGCATATAGTAAAAAAAATTCATTGAGCACTTATGTTTCAAGTACTGTGTAGACTAGCAGAAACCTGATTTATAAATTTGCTCATTTTTTCTCTACAGCTAGATTGTGCTTTTTAAGCCATAACATTCATAATTAAATGTGAAATGGGTTTTAAAAAAGAAATCAAGCAAGCTTCAGTTAAAATTTATTACCAAACAAAGCATAAAAATTATAAGAAGGGACTGTCTTCATGAAAATTATGTACCAGATACTTGGTTCTCTTAATCTGTTTTTAGGCTCAGGTAAAGTTATAAAGTGAGATATATAAAATATGAAAAAAATATATAATATGATTCAATAAATATGAACATGCAACATATTTCAACAAGATATTCAAATTAACATATAGGAATTCAAAGTCTTGGAAACTTTGTATGTAGCTAATATTCTACAGAGAAAAAAACCGCAAACCAAAGTTATGATGATGAATTTTAGACACATCAGTATAGAACTACTCCTGTCATAACTTCCTGGAAACTTAAACATTAAGGCTCATTTAAATTCCATCATAAACTTGAAATTAGTTCTTAATAAGCCAGACATAAAAAAATAATCTAAACTATAGTAATGGCATAAGTAATTTACATTTTCCACACTGGCTACAAAGGCAAAATTCTTTGTTACCTGAATGCTGAAAATGCATGCAATTCTGATTGCACATCTTATACCTTCCAGGCAAAGAGAGGCTACTTCAGTATCATCACAATCTTGTAGACCCACACTGAATGCAGCCAGAAAGGGTGTCCAAGCCAACTAGTAAAATTAAAAATTTAAAACATATCATGGACATCAAGTGATAATTAAATTTCACAATAATACTACATTAATATTTCTCAAAGCTTTCAAACAATAAAAGATTTGAGGAACTTCTGAAAAAAAGCAACGAGTTTCTTGGCATAGTTATTTGGAAAGCTTTCTTCCTAGGCTTAAATAAGAGGGAGAGCAAGAATATAAATTCAGTAGAGGACCCTAGGCATATTTTAAGCACAGCATCTATAAATTATTCACATCAATAAAAAATGGGAATAGTCAGTATTCATAAATGATATTAGTTTTACCCCTGGCTTCAGAACTCATCTCTCTGTAAGCTTTGCCCCTTGCAATATTTCACGGACTTTTTATTTCCAAGAAAATCGTTTCAGTCATTTTCCTACTTGCAACAATCACATTGTTCTCTTTTCCTTAAGCCTGCTCCCTAGGGATCATTTAGCCTTACTTGTTTTGTAGTCAAATATTTTACATTGAGACATCAGTGATATCTCCGGTTCCCAGTTGGACAAGACTTTAAAAATATAGTTCAGTAAAACACTTCTTCATTACAGACTATGAAAGCCAACAAACACTAAATTTTACTATCAAAACTAAATACCTAGTGACACTGTAATGTAAAACAAACAAAAAGAGTTACATTTAGACTACTGAAAATCCTAATATCAAAACGTGTATATCAGTGTGTGCGTGTGTGTGTGTGTAACTTTGAAATGTCTGATGCAAGAGTATTTGCTGCTTTTAGTAAGTCATGATGAAGCACAACTATATATCCATACAGATGAGAAATGTTTATACCAGTGTGCTACAGAAATGACAACTGAAATTTTTAAAAGATCTAAAAAGTTTTCATCGTTATTAAGGAAAACAGAATTACCCAAAGCTTTGCTTGTAACATCAGAAAGTTTAGAAGTAAAAGTTTATAATCCCTAAAAAAAAGGCACATAAGCCACAGTACCTAACGTCTAGTCCTAACTTTGTCATTTATTTAATCTCTCTGAACCTCACGTTTCTTCCTCTTTAATACCTGTACCACCACTAGAGATGCTGTGGGAAGCATATGAAGTACAGTACTTTTAAAATACAAAGTACCACATGAAAGCAATAAATTATACATTCTAAGAAATGGCACATCTATTTGGAAACCTGTATAATATTTTATAAAACTGGAAGTATAAATGGTTCTTAAGCCAGCGAAAAAACGTATAATTCCATTAGGAATTAAAGGCAACAATTTCTCCTATCAAATTACACCTAAATAATATCTGGGGACAGTGAAATTGTCTACTCATAACTGTTTCAACTTTTGTAGAATACAATTTGGCCACATGTAAAAAAATTCTTAATAAGGTTTATATCCTTTAATATTATATCACATTCTAGGAATCTCTCACTCATTCCTTTACCCAGTCAATATTTGTTTACTGAGCACTTACTACAAGCCAGGAATTGTGCTACATATTGGGAAAAGCGAACAGAACAGACGTAGTCCCTTGCTTCATGGAGCTAAAAGTCTAGTACAGAGATAGATATTAAATTGTAAAATAAATAAATGTATAAATACAAATTGTTATAAATACAATGAAGGAAAAACGTAGCATGTTATAAAAAAGGACCTAATTTGGTTTAGAGGGGTCAGGGCAGAACTCTGAGAAGTTATCATTCAAAGTGCAACCCAATCAGGCAAAGAAGGAAAGAACATTCTAGACAAAGGACACAGCTCGTAAGAACGCTCTGCAGAGAAAATAATTTAGGACATTCTAGAAACTGAAAGAATGCTAGTGTGACTGCAGAAATCCAGCGATGAGGTTGGAGAGGCAGGGAGAGCCAGACAACAGAAGGTCTACAGACCCTACAGACTCTCATGATACCCTACAGTATCATGCAAAGTCAGTGAAGGGCCTTAAGGAAGAGGGTGACATTTCATTTTGTATTTTAAAATGATCACTCTGGTCTCTGCACATGGATAAGAGGAGCACAAAAGCAGTCATAAAGATGTCAGTTAGGAGGACGCTACAGTAATAATAGAAATGAGGGTGCCTGGAGAGGGAAATGGCAATAGAAATGGCAGTAAGGAGAAAGATTCCTAAGTCTAGCTTAGAAGATATTTAAATAAACTATAAACCAGAGACTATATCATAAAAGCTACTTATGAAGAATTTTTAATGATATGGGGAAATCCTTATGTGAGAAACAGCAAGATACAAAATTCTTTCTATAGTATGATCACAACTGTTTAAGATAAAAAAGTAGTATATAAACATATCAAAAGAAGTTTTTTCTGAGTAGGAGAATTATGTCTGGTTCCCTATTATTGTTTTTTTCATTCTCCGCCTCCCCACTACAAAAATATTTGAGAAGAAAAAGAAAATAAGGGTATAAGATTATTGAAAACAAAACAAAAAGCTGCTTTATAAAATTTATTTCATAATAGAAAGTGTTTCTTATATTTCAACATCCTTTTCTATATTATTCCAAAAGACAAGGCCAGTTATACTACACTATTCCTTCTAACATTATCTCCCTAGCTCCCCCACTCTCATCCTATAATTCTTCACCAACTTTTAGGAAAATCATTATCACACAGATCTTGAAGTATGAGGAGAAGTAATTATAAAATTTTAGAGCTAAAAAGAGAGCACAGAAATTCTGTGGTCATCTTTTACTACCCATACATACGTGCAGTTAATGTGTGAAGGATAACTCAAATTAAGATCTTCAGCCTCCACAGACCATTTTACCCTTAACACACTGTCTCACAACTGGAATGTACTTTACCCATTTTCCCTTCTCAAACTTGACTAGACTGTCCTCCGCTTGCCTACAATCCTTACGATGCACTGCTTACTCATTCCAGAATTTGGAGAAAGGGTAGAAAAAAAGAATAGGAAGGACTAGGAAATCAAATTTTAAGGAACCAGTAAGTACGAAAGTCTCCCCTTATCCACAGGGGATATGTTCCAAGACCCCTAGCAGATGCCTGAAACCGCAAATAATAATGAACCCTATATATACTATGTTTTCTGCTATACATATATATTTGAGGTGCGACAGCAAAACTAGCAAGACTTTCCTTTTCCTCCTTCACAATTTCACAGATAAAAGACTGATTCTTATTGTAGATCTTAGCAACCTCAGCATATGATTTTTTTTTTTCCTTATTAAGTCAAGAACTTTGACCTTTTCACTCTTTCTTTCCTTATTAAGTCAAGAACTTTCCCCTTGAAGCACTTTACGGCTTCTCTTAGGCATATCCAAATTGCCAGCATCACTACTCTTGCACTTTGGGGCCATTATTAATTAAAATAAGGGTTACTTGAACAGCAGCACTGTGATACCACAACAGTCGATCCGATCACTGAGAAGGCTGCTAAGTGACTAACGGGTGGGTAACGTATACAGCATGGATACACTGGACAAAGGGATGATTCCCATGTCTCAGGCAGGACAGAGTGGGTCGGGGCGGGATTTCATCACACTACTCAGAACTGCGTGCAATTCAGAACTCACAAATTGTTTATTTCTGGAATTTTCCATTTAATATTTTCACACCACAGTTGACTGCAAGTAACTGAAACCATGCAAAGCAAAACTGTGGATAAGGGAGGACTACTATATCATTCTTCCAAGATCAACCTATAACCATAAATAATGCTCCCTTTTGTTCCTTACTCTACTTTCTGGGCTCTAAGCATACTCAGAACGCTTATTTAGTTCCTGGGCCAGAAGCACTAAAGAGAGCAAGCTCAAGATCACTTTGAAATTTCAGGTAACTCCAAAGGTTTAAATAGTATTCATTTAGAGAAAATCAGTCCAAGGATTAACGATCATTCTCTGAAATCTATTTTTCTTTTTTTTTGTGAGGAAGATCAGCCCTGAGCTAACATCCGAGGCCAATCCTCCTCTTTTTTGCTGAGGAAGATTGGCCCTGGGCTAACATCCATGCCCACTTTCCTCTACTTTATATGGGACACCGCCACAGCATGGCTTGACAAGCAGTGCGTCGGTCTGCGCCTGGGATCCAAACCTGCGAACCCCAGGCCACCACAGCAGAATGCGCGAACCTAACTGCTGCGCCACCAGGCAGGCCCCTGAAATCTTTCTATTCTTAATTCTTAAGATCACACACCTGTTAATTGCTAATAGTGCATAATTTTTCTCATTCTCTTTAAGAGAAAATCTATATTTGCTATGTCCTATAAAACATGGCTTTTGCTTTTGGGTCTACATTAATGGGCTATATCACTGTATTTCCTTAACTTAAAAATATAATGGGGGGCCAGCCCCGTGGCATAGTGGTTAAGTTCAGCGTGCTCCGCTTTGGTGGCCCAGGTTCACGGGTTCAGATCTTGGGCGTGGACCTAACACCACTTGTCAACCATGCTGTGGTGGCGACTCACCTATAAAAAAATAGAGGGACATGGGGCCAGCCCGGTGGCGTAGCAGTTAAGTTCATGCGCTCTGCTTCGGCGGCCCGGGGTTTGCAGGTTCGCTTCCTGGGCGCAGACCAACGTACCACTTGTCAAGCCATGCGGCGGCAACATCCCATATAAAGTAGAGGAAGATGGGCACGGATGTTAGCCCAGGGCCAATCTTCCTCAGCAAAAACAGGAGGATTGGCATCAGATGTTAGCTCAGGGCTAATCTTCCTCAACAACAACAAAAAAAAGGAAGACTGGCAGGAGATGTTAGCTCAGAGCTAACCTTCCTCAACCAAAAAAAGAAAAAAAATATGCTGAACAAAATTACATGTAAATGTATAATGCAACCAAAAGTTATTAGTAACTCCTACCTTAAACATGGGTCTCACATGCTCCAAATGTGTTGCACTTGTAAAAGGTGCCTGAACATGGCTCACGGCCTCCATGAGTGCTTTAGCTGTCTTGGCCATCTGTTCCATTTCTAAGTTATACAGAAGTCTTCTTTGTTTTTCACTGGCTACATCTGAAACAGCAAACACTATTAGCATTTAAAATATAAAACACTTAAAAATGTTATTTTGATGTTTTACTATAAAATAATAAATACCACAAATTAATACTAATTAAAAATAGTCCTAGGAAGTCATATACAAAAGGTCACATAATATATGATTTCATTTATATGAAATATCTAGAGTATGTAAATCCATAGAAACAAAAAGCAGACTGGTGGTGGTAGCCAGGGGTTGGGGAGAGGGAGAGAATGTGAAGTAACTGCTTAATGGATACAGGGTTTTATTTTGGGGTGATAAAAATGTTTTGGAACTAGATACAGGTGGTGGCTGCACAACACTGTGAATATACTAAATGCCAGGGAATCGTTCACTTCAAAATGGTTAATGTTATGTTATACAAATTTCACCTCAAAAATAAAAAAAAAAATCCTAAGAGTTAGGGATAAGCAGAAAACCTATGGAAAGGGAAGAGAGTAGGTACAAATCTGTCACAATGCAAGTATTACGGAAACAACTCAAATATGGGATGAGAGAGCAGGAGAAGAGAGATAAAAGGCAACGGCATCCTTATATGACACATGCTTGAATGGCATCTCCTGAATTAACAAGAACACAGTAGCCCTAACACTCCAGGATGATCTTAGTATTTCACCACACCACCATCTCCTTCCCATATCCAGCTTTTCATTGATTTCCTATCACCATATACAAAATAGACCAGAGAAAGAAGGATATGAAGATGTTATAATATGCGTATGAGGAGGAAAATTGAATCAGAGAATTGGCATTTACTTAGGTGTGAAAACTAACTCTTGATCAATATACTTAACAATGTTATAAGCAAAAATGCTGAAAATAACTACCAAGTAAACTGCTGATTGGTACTGGACTACAATAAGCCAAGGATGCCTAGTTCGAGATTTGGCTTTGCCACTCTTTGGGTTTTTAATGCAGAAATTTAATAAAAGTTTTTACACTATACTCAGCTCATAGATTCTATGATTCTAAGTTTCTTAACCTCTCTGGACGTCAGTGTCCTCATCCATAAAATGAGGGAGAACTTACTAAAGCTCCTTAGAATCATTCCCTGTATTATTCCAAAAGATAAGGCCAGCTATACTCTGCTATTCCTTCTAACATTATCTCCCTAGCCCCTGGCTCTCATCTTATAATTCTTCATCAACTTCTAAAGATATACATATCACACAGGCCTTTTTGCTTTTGTCCATAGAATAGCAACAGAATTCTGCTACTGTCACTAGAATTTTGCTACTGCAATCTGTTTTGTTGGGTAAAGCCTGAGATTGCATTTCCAAGTGGAAGTGCTCAAAAAGGCAGGAGTCCTCTTTCCATATCACTGTTACATTCTTGAGCCACTACCGTCACCTCATTCCTGCAGTCAGAGTTTAGCTCTAATTTAATCACCACTGTTTACATGTACAGATTGTCTAGAATGGAGCCAGGCCCACAGTTGGTTCCTAATGCTGGCTAGATCTAGGAACTCTATAGTGATATAATTTGTGGTGCATCTGAAGTAGTGATTCCCAATTCCACGAGCTCCTCCATGATCCTACCTTTCCCGACCTCCTTGAATCACCCCTACTTCCAGCTCCCCTTTATGACTAACAATAGATGAAAACATGGAAATATGGTGTTTGTAGATGATGAGGAGGCAAAAAAAATAGACTGGGAACTGAAGTCCGACTAATGGGGTTGCCTAACCAATCTCTCAGACCTCTAAATCCATGCTGAGATTAACTGCTAAATGGACAAATATATATTAAATGCACACTAATCCATGCATATTATGTAGCATTTTCCATTAATCACCAGTCAGTGCTATCTTTCTTTAGAATACGGAAAAAAATACAATCAGTTCAGCAAACTGTATACAGGCATACCTCAGAGATATTGCAGGTTTGGGTCCAGACCACCTCAATAAGGCAAATATCACAATAAAGTGAGTCATGTGAATTTTTTGGTATCCCAGAGCATATAAAAGTTATGTTTACACTATACTGTAGTCTATTAAGTATGAAATAGCATTATGTCTAAAAAAACAATGTACATATCTTATTTAAAAAATATTTTATTGCTAAAATATGCTAACCATCATCTGAACCTTCAGTGAGTCGTAATCTTTTTGCTGGTGGAGGGTCCTATAAAAAAAAAAATACAATATCTGCAAAGTGCAATAAAACAAGGTATGCCAGTATTATAATACTTCTCATTTGAATAAATGACACTTGATTTACTCTAAACCAAGTGAAAGACAATCTTTTTTAAGAGTTTTTCTCATATTTTCCTCCTGAACAATCAGAATTCAATTGATTCAGATACTTACTTTGTTTACTCGATTTTGTAGGGATTGTTAGTTCTTTTGTTTCTTTCATTGATATCTTTTTCCCAGCTATTTCATTATAGATGGCTGATAGATACTCTTCAGGAAGGTCTTTACTGTCATTGATACCTCTATTCATCTTAATGTATTGTTCCTTTGTCATTTTATTTTTAACCTAGAAATGAAAAACCGTTATAATTCCTAAAAATTAATATAAAAAATTCACTCGTATTTTAAGAATTTGAATGTTCACGTAAGAGAATTCATAAATACTTTGAGGACAGGAAGTGGAAAATATTCAACAAAACATGGAATAAAATAAAAAAAGGAAGTCATATAAAATGAAGGCAATGTAGAAAGACCCATCCCAGCATATACTACTTCATCTTGCTCTGATGTGCACGTGAGTAATTTGTAATAAGAAAGCAGGGAGACTGAGGCCAGCCTGGTGGCGTAGCAGTTAAGCTTGCGCACTCTGCTTCAGCAGCGCAGGGTTCGTGGGTTTGGATTTCAGGTGCGGACCAATGCACCACTTGTCAAGCAATGCTGTGGCGGCATCCCGTATAAAAAGTAGAGGAAGATGGGCACGGATGTTAGCCCAGGGCCAGTCTTCCTCAGCAAAAAGAGGAGGATTGGCAACAGATCTTAGCTCAGGGCTAATTGTCCTCACACGCATAAAAAACGAAAACAGGGAGACTGAATAATTATTTGCTTTTGCCCAAAGTTTAAGAGCTCTAGCCAGAGTCTTTAAAAAAAGACCATGACAGTTATTAGAAACATATGGTGGGGCCAGCCCAGTGGCATAGTGGTTAAGTTCGCGTGCTCTGCTTCAGTGGCCTGGGGTTCACATGTTCAGATCCTGGGCATGGACCTACACACCGCTCAAGCCATGCTGTGGTGGCATCCCACATACAAAATAGAGGAAGACTGGCACAGATGTTAGCACAGGGACAATCTTCCTCACCAAAAGAAAAAAAAGGAAACATATAGTATCAAGAAGATTCAAAGCTTAGTTCAGAAGAACATAAATGTGTTGCAAATGATTTAAAAGCTGATTTTATATAAAAGCGGATGAAAGAATAAGACCAAAGAAAAAGACCAAAATTTATTTAAAACCAGATAACACTCTCTCTTGGACTCAGCACGGCAACTGAGTATTAGGTGATCGGGGTGAAGTATCCTTGGAACATTTTGTCTTGTTTAAGGGTACTCTGAATAGGAAAGTCCTACTGCATACCTTGATAAATCGGTGGGGTACAAGTTTGCAGTCTGTAAGATGGTAGCCCTGTCACCAAACTTGAAAACTAGCACTGCCAAAATGTTTACACTTTTTATCTCCAAAAACCCAGATGGACAAAACCCAGAAGTCTTATGATGTCTCTGAAGATACATTTATTTAATTAAATACATTCCTACCTCATTCCATAAAGATTTTAAGGCAATTCTAAAATTAAGGCTCCTGTAAATTTATAAGGTGCACAGAGTAATAATCAAGCAAGTAACCAGAAGTTTGCAAAATTAACTATAGAGAAACCAGAATGTCCAGAGGATATAATTGGGATACACACACTTATTTAGTTCAGTTTACTCTGCTAACAGATCTTTCTAGTATGTCAGAAAGGGTGGAAGGAGCACTTTTTCTACAAAAATGTAAAAACATTACCATAAAAGTTTTCAAATGTAATTTATTACTATTCAAGGGAAAAAAGCTCTAACATATTGTAACTTCAAAAACTCATCTTGAGTCTTGGCACTAAAAAAACATAAAAGAAAGAAAGCCATTTCACCTGAAGTTCTGATAAATACTAAAAAAAACAATGACCTGGGGATACCAAAATAAAAGATCACACAAGTGCTGCCAATAAGAGGCTAAAAGAAGACTAACATCACCTGGAAATTTTGAGCATGGCATAATGTTTTAGCATCACGCTAACTGGAAACCTCTAAAGAGAAGTCTTGGTAGAAAATATGAAGTAGTAGTGAAATACGTTTGTGGATCTGGGTTGGGAGGTAAGGGTGGGAGCTCCCAGGAAGTGGGAGTAAGGAATATATTAATTTCAGGTACCCCCCACCCCCCAAAAAATACACTGCTCAAACAGAATAATTATGCCACAGTGGGATTCTGGAAGTAGTACAAAACATAATCCTACTTTTCTTCTCCTGCTCATCTTTCACAAAACACACTATTCTTGACTCTTATTCTCACATGCTTAAATTAAGCTGTGCCTAGTTTTAGTGCTTAAATCATTTAAAGCCAGTTGTTACTACTGATGAAGATTAATATACACAAAAAAATTAAACGTGTTTTAAATATATCTCCAGTTAAAAAATCACTGACTCAACATTATATATAAAAGGTAGTCTAACTATAAATATTCTAGGTGAAAAAGGAACATAAATGACTTGTAAAAATTCATCTATATTTTAACTTTCAAAACAACTAAGAATGAGAAGAATTAGCTTTAAATGATTCCTTTAAAGTTACCTCTTTTCTTTAAAAATTCATTGGTTATAGTTTATATGGTCCTGAATCATAAATCATAAGGAGTCATGATTCAGGGTTCAATTTTCTAACAGGCCATTGAGCTTCACAGGAACTCATAAGCTGTTCTACAGCTGCATATCAGCACATGATGCCAGCCAGCAGTCTGAGGAGAGCATTACGACTATAAGCAGTTACCACTGCTAGATTAGGACTCAAGCACATGTTCTACAGACAGCAACTCGTGCCATAAAGACAGGATACTGTTCTCAAGATAATATTCCCTAACTAGTATGTGTTCAGAAACTTTTAACAATCTGGGTACTATAAAAAACAATTAAGGGAAGTTTTAATATTCAAAATAACTTACCCAAGACTGTACACATGTATAGGAAGATATGATACAAATGCATATAAAACTGATAATTCATTTTTGGAATCAAATTCTTTAAAAATATAACAAACACAGGGAGGTAGCATACAACATAATCCTACTTTTGGTTCACACTGAAAAACCAGACAGAAAACTCTGCTATGAAGATCTCCACAGAAGTCATTAACTGCAGACTGCTTTTAAAAACCACGGAGAAAAGTACCATGCTAGATAATGAAAACCCTAAAAGTGAGCTGCTTTTACTACACTGCCAGTAATATGCTAAAGGCAAATTGTAAATGATTAAAATCTTAAATGATTTCTTTAAAAAAGGTCTATATAAAATCAAGTAAATCCCTGGTAAATGCACAGTGGTTGAATTCTGATGTTTAAAACTAGGAATAACTCTGTATATAATCCCTCTATCATACATTTGGTATATACTTTCCATATCGACCCTGCCCTAAACATCTTAAAATACATACCAAAAAACCCTATATTGCAAAGTTTCATCTCAAACTTCAAATAAATTTTAATTTTTCCAATACTCAGATTAGTAGTAAGTATATAGTTTATTTCACATCCTAAGAATAACAGATATTGGGCCGGCCCCATGGCTTAGCGGTTAAGTGCACGCTCCGCTACTGGCCCCCGGGGTTCGAATCCTGGGCACGCACCGATGCACTGCTTCTCCGGCTGTGCTGAGGCTGCGTCCCACATACAGCAATTAGAAAAATGTGCAACTATGACATACAACTATCTACTGGGGCTTTGGCGGGGGGGGGGGGGGGGGGGGGGGGGGGGGGGGGGGGGTTGGCAATAGGAAAAAAAAAAAAAGAATAACCGATATCATTAGATGCCAATCCCTAAGAAGTACTAAGAATTTCTTGCAAATAGGTTAATTTATAAAGATAACTTCCCCCAAGGATTCCAAGGCATGTGTCTAGAAACTAAGCATAAACACCTAAAAAACTTTTTTCCTAGTGGATATCAGAAATCAGTTCCTTAATATTTAAGAAGGAATTAGGAATTTTATGAGGCAAATGAAATTTGAACAATTCCTGGATATCTGATATTTAAAAATTATTGTTAATTTTTAGGTGTAATGATATTATAGTTATGTTTAAATAGTGTATTTCTCTACCAGGGATATATATACTGAAATAAATACAGATGAAATGATACTTGGGATTTCCTTCATAATGACCTGGGGGAGAGAAAGGCTATAAATGGAACAAGATGGGCCTAAGCTGCTAACTGTGGAAGCTGCGTGATGGGCACATGAAGGATTACTATACTAATCACTCTGTTTAAGTTTGAAATGTAAAAAACAAAAGATGGTCTACATATAGTGTTTTTCCATGTTGTAATAAGTATAGGCAGAAGAACTATAAGCATATTCTTAGATTAAAATTTATCTTAAGCTTTATATAGCTGTCAACCATGAGACAGACAAATACAGATTTATTTTACAGACATTTGAAATTAGAATTACTACTAGAAATTGCATTTATAAAATGTATACTACACCAAATTACCCCAATTTGATGACTGGTTTCACTAAAGATTAAAATTTCAACTACTACTTATTGAATTCAAGAGAATTTATTTAATTTGTACTATTTACTGTAAAACTGGCTTGGAAGAAAACATACCTGTGGACTGTGAAGATCTGTGGTGAGCATAATAATTGAGTAAGCCAAAACATAGGCAGTATCTGCACTAGCAAAAAGAGTTTGTCTGGAAAAATAAATGTATCATGTTATAAACTTTTATTGTTTCACAGTTTTATTTAAATATCCCTCAAAACCCAGAGCATTTTTAATTTTCTCTTTCAGAATCCATGTTCTATCTCATATTACCATTTTTTATGGAATTGTCTTATCACTTGCAGACCACAGACAATTTAAGTTCCCTGGGGGCAGGGGATTACGAATCTCTCGATGCTTCCTAGCACAGTGTCTTGGATATAGTTAGCAAACAGTAAGTACTTGAATTTGAACCGTGCTTACCCTTGGTTGCATTCCAGATATCTTGCAGCAAATTTTTCCATCAATCGATCAATTTTTTGAGCTTCCCCTGGAAGACGGAATCCTTCCAGAAACATACGAAGGGCTGAAACGAAGTCCTTTCCTGAAAAGTCATGTTGGTCCACATATGCATACATGACTTCTTTGTTAAATTTATCATTATCTCCCAGGAACTCACCCACTTGAGTCTAAACAACAAAAGACAGAAACTGATATACTAATGAAATGTTACATTTGCCACACAGCAATTTAAAAAGCAGAAAAATCCATAAGATCCAGAGGTTTTGACTATAGGGTTAACTATTTCAAACATGAAGCTAAAAGTTAAACATATTAAATGTGTTAAAAAAAATCAAGATAGCCTTTTGAGTTTAGAAAATTACAAATCAAAATTAAGAATGCCTAGGTTATTCTTTAAGTTTTACTTACGTACTTAGGAGGACATTTTAAAGGAGAAATAATATGTATCATTATTAACTTAAAAACAAATTTTACAGAAAAGAATGAAATAAAATGGTATTCTTACAGAGTCTAATCTTTCCTCTTGATGTAAGAATTGGGCAATATCCTCAGGTGTAGTGCCAAGCATCCCTTGTTCTTGGAGGTACTGTATTCCTCTCTTTGGTTTCTTATTAAATCTAGATGAGGTTAATGATATAGGAACATTAGAAATAGAAAACCATTTGTATTCTCTGATAAGATCTTAAACTACAGTAAATTAATTTTCTAATAGCACTTAGAAAACAGGAGTTTATTTAATATAATCAATGCATGAATATACGAAAAATGTGTATTATGCAAAGTTTATTTTTTTCTTCTTAGAGTCTCAAATGGAAGGCAATCTTTATCATTGATATGGATCATTTCACGGACTATTTGAGATAATGCCACGGAGTAGATAAACTTTGAGTAAGGATATGAATACTAAAAATCTCATACTTACTCTATATATTCTCCTTAATGCTCAAGTAATCTTGGCTCATTCTATATACATCCATTGATTAATTCTAAGTTTCCTGCTTTTAAAGTACAGAACTTGAATTTTGGTGACTGTTTTAACCACCATCTGACAGCATTATTTCCTTTATAAAAACATCTCTAGGGGCCGGCTCGGTGGCGCAAGCGGTTAAGTGCGTGCGCTCCGCTGAGGCGGACCCGGGTTCACCGGTTCGGATCCCGGGCGTGCACCGACGCACCACCTTGCAAGCCATGCTGTGGCGGCGTCCCATATAAAGTGGAGGAAGATTGGCATGGATGTTAGCCCAGGGCCAGTCTTCCTCAGCAGAAAGAGGAGGATTGGCAGATGTTAGCTCAGGGCCAATCTTCCTCACACACACACAAAACATCTCTAGATATCCAACATTCTCAAAATGAAGTCCAAACTGATAGACTGACAGACAAAATGTTTCTCAATATAGCTCCAGTTTATCTCTCAAGCCCTCTCTCTCATCTACTCCCACATATCCTATCTCATTCCCTAAACATAGCACATTTGCAGAGTCTATTTCCTCTGCATGCCCTCTATCTGCTCCATTCACTGGGGAACTCTCCTTCATGCCTAAAGATCCAATTCAAATGTCACCTCTTTGTTTCCAAATCATTTACTTTCTACTTTTATTGTACCAAGAATTACCTTGGTATTTCATCACCCGTCACCTGGATATTGCAAGAGTTCTTAAATGGTTTCCCTATCTCTTGTTTCGCTTACATTCTAATCCATCCTTCAGGCTGCTGGCAAACTCATCTTTCCAAAACAGAAATCTAATGATGCTGCTCCTCTGCTTAAAATCCTTCAGTAGGATGCCAATGCTAACAGGAACAAGACAAAAACTCCTTCACGTGGAGAATAAGGCCTTCTGTAATCTGGACCCAACTCAATGCTCTCATCTCACCCCCTGCTATTAACCCTCCACTCTGCCCCTGGCATGCTGAACAGTCCTCAAATGTTCTCCCTTTCCTCTGTGCTGCTGCACATATCATTCTCTTTGTCTGAAATGTCCTTCCCTGTTCTGTCTTCCTAATTATTCCCCTGTCAAGTTCTAACTCAATCATCACCACATACATAAATTAAAATAAAACATTTTTCACTGAGATAAACACAATCCCTGCTCTCTAAAGCTCTCATTCTAATTGAAGAAACAAGATTTATAAAAATTATAGTAGTAAAAATGCAACAAATTAATGTATTCACAAGGTAAGAAGACAGCACAGCAGAGGACATGACTAATTAATAGAGATGGTCATGATATATTTCCTGGGGAAGGTGACTGTAGAACTAAGCTTTGAAGAATGATTATATCTTTTATAAACAGTAAGAAAAAACATTCCAGACAGCAAGGTACAGGTCATACTAATAAATGAAAACATAAAACAGCATGATATTACAATAAATAGCTCTGCATTGTTAGAACAACGAGGTGAGATAAAGAAGTGGCTGGTGATGAAGCTTAGGGGTCCAGCAGATCCAGATCACGAAGGGTATTATATGCTATTAAAAGAAGCTGTGGCTTTATTCTCCAAAAGCAAGGAGAGGGAGAAATAGAAGCAGACTTTCATTCAAGAAAGATGATCCTAGCTAAGTGTGAGAAAAGACTAGTGAATAACTAAGACCAAAGAAAGGTAAACCAGTTAAAAGATTATACTAATCCTGGCAAGAAATGGTGATGGTTTGACTTGAGAGAACTGTGGGAGACAGACAGAAGAGAATAAATTGCAGTTATTTAGGAAATAGAACCAATAGGATTTAGTGACCGATTAGATCCAAGGGGAAAAGCTAAGGTAACTCCCAGTATTCTAGCTTATAATTTTAGTAGCATGTTGGGGTTACTAGCCTAAAGAGGAAATACAGAAACAACACAATTTTCTGTTTCTTTTGTTTTTGGTATGACTACTAGGGAGTTGACTGTGAAGAGAACGAAGACTGATAAATTTGGTTATCGACACAATGAGTGTGAGAAGCTTTGAAATATCCAGCAGAGATGTCCAACAGGCAATTACAGATATGAGTCTGGACTTCAGTAGAGGCATTTAAGTTAAAAACAACACTTGTGAGATGTGAGATGTTAGCCCATAGATAGTAGCTGAAGTCATGAAAAAGAACATGACCATCTAAGAGAAGTTACAAAGTAAGCAAAGAAAAGGGCTAAGGGACAACTCTGGAGACCCTGGCAGAACGCTGCCAAGACGCATGCATCAGATAAAGAGCCCATATCAAGACTGACACGCATTGACAGAATGGGACAGGACAGTGGTGTCATGAAAGAACAGCCGTGGAAGAGTATACTGGGAGCACAGCAACATGAGAGCATTCTCATGAAAGTATGAAGCAGAAAGCAGTCGAGTGTCTAAAAGAAGGACTGGAGGCTAGGGAGACCACCACTTTGGAGGTATGTAACGACTCCCCCTCACTCCTAAGTACTTCAAAATAGAGTTATCAACACTCTATTCTGGACTTCACACAGTACTACAGTCATGTGCTGCATACCATTTCAGTTGACAATGGACCGCATATACAACAGTGGTTCCAGAAGACTAGTACCATATAGCCTAGGTGTGTAGCAGGCTATGCCACCTAGGTTTGTGTAAGTACACTTTATGATGTTCGCATGACGACACATTTCTCAGGACACGTCCCCGTTGTTAAGTGGTGCATGATTCTATTTTAAAAAAATATTTTGCCCATATTTAGACTGTAATCCTGACTACAAGGACCAGTGCCTTCATGGTTCCTGGCACACAGTCCCAAGTACCAAATACGTGTGTTTGCCGAGTGACACCAGAATTTCGATACGAATATCCGTTTACACATAATAGACCTTGAGACCCTCAGAAGCAAAGGCTGTTTCATTCACCAGGTTTCCCTAGGACCTTGCATAATGTCTAGAACAGATGGGACTTTGATAAATATTGACTGAAAAATTAGAATGAATGAAGCATCAATGGTGATTTCCTGAGGCAATTCTGCAAGATTTTATAATTTTATGACAAAGAATATGTGTACATTTTGTCAAAAAAATTTTTTTTCTAGTAACACTGAAAAAAAGGGTACTTGAACATTCACCAAAAGGCACTGCCTAAGATTCAGGAAGAAATGCTTTATAGCAAAAGTAGCAAACCAAGTAAACATATAAGAGAATTTTTAACCATTTACAGTGCTAGATTCATGGAGAAAGGCCAGCAAATTCATTTTTCCTTATAGCATCTCTCTGAAAGAAGAGATGAGTGATAAGAGGAAGGAAAGCAGCATGTTAGTATTTAGACAGGAAATAGTCTAGGAGCAGGCTGACATCACATAGCTTAGTGGGAAAACTGATTTCACAAGATCAGGGACTGGTAGAGTAGCCAGGTTGGAAAAGGACATTATCACCTTATCAACATATAAAAATGAAATCAATACCAACGGCTCAGGAACAAGAGCAGCACATTTGTAACCCAACTGGAGAAAATATAAAACCTACAAACGAGCAATGCTAACTATCAGAAGTTTCACACTGTAAATTTTTTGAGCTGTCACCTGCTTAGGAAATATAATGGGGGATTTTCCAATGGAGTTAAATGAACAATGCAAAACTACACCAAAGATGTTCATCAACAGCATATAAAATATGGTGGAAAATTAATTTAATGTGCATTACAAGGGTATGTTTGGGCTAGACTGCAATGAACAAGGGAGCTGAATAAGGAGCCACTACCAGTTTTGGATCCAGGAGAACTAAGCCCCATTTTACTCATTGAACGGTGGTAATAGGAAGGGAATAAAATTAATCCAAAGAGGTAGAGAAAACCAGGGCAAGGGTGGCACAGCACTGGCAGAGGGATGTTCAATAACATTTCTCCGTAAAATCAGACACTCACAAATCTATCCCTTGCTCTATTATTTCTTTTTGTTGCTTTAGGACCTCGAATTGTTCTGGATTATCAGTGCCAGACATCTGTGTACTGTAGCTGCCTATTCCTGATGATGATGTTGATTCCAGAGAATTTAAACTTCCATATCTGTTTATTGTCTCAGGGTGTCTGATTTCACTCGTCTCTTGCTCTGAGGGTTTTTCCTGACCTGTAGGCAGAAAAACTGATACAGTACATTATTCCGTAAAAGCAAAATAAGTAAAAGGTATAAAAAATTCTTGAATAAAGCAAGATATTTCAATGTTGTTTAGATATCTACTTAATACAAATAAAATATTAGGTGCCATAATAGACAATATACTTTGATATTGAAACACTGCAATTAGTATATGTATAATTTATACCATTTAAAGTTGTTCTTTTGGCAGCTGCAGTGCTGAGTATCCACTAGGTTTCTGCTCTCAGCTCATGCCCCATAAGAGCAGTCTTCCCTCAAAGAACTCTTGACTAAGATAACACCAGGGTAGCCCTGCAGTTATGAGCTGTTCTCCAAGTAAGGGTAAATGTCAAACATAGATGAACAATTCAATCTTTTTAAAACATACAGGCTTTTATATTTTTCTTCTATAACAATCCTTTAAGTAAGTTGCATAAGTTGTGTAAGTTGCTTTACTTGAATATGATATTCAAACATTTCTAGGAAGATTTAGAAAAAAGAAATTTGGATAATGAAGCTGGGAAATTCATAATTTTAACTTTCATTATTTAATTCCTACAGGATGCTTCTTCATCAGCTAAATGAATAAAGACGTCATGAACCTGGCTTAATGGCATCTGCAACTATCCTCCAAAGTATCATTTATTTAAAAAGACAAGGAGTTATAACTCAAAATGTCACCTTACCAAGAGTTGTCTGAGAGTTGGGATTCACATACTGATCCTTACTCCATTCAACCATACACTTCAAAATCGACACTAAGCATTCTAAACCTTTTTTCCTCAGGCTCAATTCCTACAAAATTATTCACAAAAAGAATAAAAACAAAAAGATCTTTTAAGAAAAACGCATAGCTCTTCCTTGGCAAAGTTTAAATTTGAAAATGTTTTTAAGGTTCTTACCTGAACATTACTCATACCAAGTTCTTGACTGCCCCGTCCTTGAGCAATTTTTGATAGATCATTTACCAGTCTTTCAAATATATTTGCCGCATTTAAGTCACAGTCATAGTTTACATAAATATCCACTACACTCTGAGCATCTGTAATAATACAATATATTAATTTTAACAAAAGGCATCTAGTGTATGACTATATTTGGTCTTTTAAATATCTCATAATAACAAAGAGATAATAAAGAAAGAATTTTAAATACCTGCACAAATCCTTGTCAATGTCTGAATAACCATCCATTTGTGGTCAAATGAGCTGGTAGAAGTTTCCAAAATGTACAGGAAAATTTCTTTAAAGAACACCTATGATTAGGGGAAAACTTCTGTTTAAAATATTATTTATAACTCATATATGTGATCACTTTTTAAATATCCCAAAGCTGTATAGCAAAGATTATGACCAGGCTCCTCCGGAGTTCAGTTCCTCTTGGGTTCCATCTCTGAAAGGTCAGGACTAAAGTAACCTGGGTGGCTGATGTAAGCAACCCCTGCAGTGGGAGCACCACACTTCACATCGCTGTGTTTTGTTTGCCATCACACAGCCACTACAAAAGAAATCTGCAAACATTTGTAGTTCTCTCTGGGTGATAATTTCTTGACTAATAAAACTCATACTTCATTTTTTAACTCCCTAAAAGAAAAGAAAATATACTGTTTTCATCTGTTACATTTTTCAGATATTATAGTACTGGGCAAGGCTAGCTGTTCCTAGATTAAAAAGTAACTGATGTTGTAATCCACACAATAAGGATCTAATTCTCATATACTGCTACATTTTTATAATTACTCCTACAAGTGGAAATCTCTGTTGTCTGAAAACTATAAACTATCACTATTCTTTACAGTAAATAATGTCAAGCACAAAAGAGTTAATTAACCTAACGAAATAAAGTTCAATTTAAGAGCTAAGTATTTTCAGATGCAAATTTATTTTGGACAAGTGACTGTGACTTTAGAAGGGAATGACTGAAAACAAAACCAAAACCAACATATAAACATTTATGGAATATATCTACTATGAATCTAGAAATTCATGTAAGATGACTAATATCTTCTCACCCCAAATCACATAAGGTACCCTTGTAATAGGCCTTTCTCTCACAAAATTCAAAATATTTCTATTACTTGCTTAATGTAAGTATTTCCTGTAAGACTGTAAGCTCTAAGAGGGAAGGGATCAGGTCTTTCTTGCTAAGAACAGTGTCCACACTACATAGCATACAGCAGGCATTCAATAAATATTTATGGCCACAGTTCCCAAACACTACACCAAAGCACCCCAGAATGCTGCAGCAAACTCAGGGATGCCATGAGAATTTCTGAGGGAAAATTCAGAGGGAAATACATCTGTTAGACTCTTTGCAAGATCGTTCACTTTCAACATTAGATCAATTAGATCACACTACATTTCATTCAACCACATCATCATTTTTGCAAACCTGGGTTTTAGTTGCTATGATAAAAAACATACTACATGAAAATCAATGAAGAATGGGAAATGAGAGTGGTGGTGTCCAAACTGATTCCAAAGTCTAAAACGTTGTGCAGTGTCCAACAGGAACACACATTCTAACAGTCAGTAACTGTGACTATTTAAGAATAAAATGAGGAGTGACGTCAGCATCATGGCAGAGTGAGTTGTTCCCTTCGCCTCTACCCTCTAAATTACAAGATCCATAAACAAACAGAGGATTCCCTACACAGCACAAAAGGACGCCTGAGAGATCCACGCAGCCATACATCTGAGGGTGGGTGGACTAGATTCTTGGGAAGCAGTAGAACTAGGGAACCAGCCACCTCCCCCTCCATGGTGGCAGCGATCCAGGATGTGGATCCTCACGCAGTGGCCAGCACAACTGCGAGTGGAGGTGGGGGCAGCCCAGCATGCATGCGAATGCCTGCAGAGCAGCAGTAGCATGGCCCACCGGAGCGCCCACCAAGCCACAGCAGTACCACACATGTGAACGTGTCCCACCAAGTGGCAACAACCCAGCCCATGTGAACACAAAGCAGCCTAACTGGCACAACTACGAGCAGATGGGGCGGTAAGAGAGAAAACAGCCCCTGCCCACCCCCAGTGGTGGCAGGTGGAATCTGCGACCAGAAGCATCAAGACCCGTGGCAAAAGTGGTGACTCAGCCCTCAGTGGCAGCAACCCCGATACCAGCTCTGCCAGCAACAGAGGCTGCATACATGTCCCTGGGTCCCCAGGCCCCCAACAGCAACAGTGACACCTGTGAACCCAGCACCACTGGCAGCAGTGCAACCAGCACCCCAAGAGAACCCAAGAAGAGCAGCTAAGGTGGTGCATGGGCAGCAGCATCCGAGTCCACAAAGAGCCAGTGGAGGAACATGAAACCCAGGTGACCAGAACGAAAGTAACCAAAGCCATACTCAAATAAGAAAGGTGGTTACTACCACAAACACACTGGCAGAGGATCAATTCATCAAACAACATAAAGAACTACAGCAACGTGGCAGAACAGAAGGAAAATGACAACTCTCCAGAGACAAAACCTGAAGTCACAGAAGATTACAATTTAACTGACAGAGAATTCAAAACAGCTGTCATAAAGCAACTCAACAAGTTACAAGAAAACTCACAGTTCACTGAGCTCAGGAATAAAATTAATGAACAGAAGGAATACTTCACCAAAAAGAATGAAGCTCTAAAAGGAAACAAACAAACAAACAAACAAATTGTGGATATGAAGAACACAATTAATGAGATAAAAAAATAATGCAGCAGGCATAAAAAATAGAGGGCTGTTTTTTCAGACCTTATGGGTGAGAGAATTAGTGAGAGAGAAGATAGAAACAAAGAAATGATTCAGGTGGAGGAAGAGAGAGAACTAAGATTTTTAAAAAATGAAGAAATTCTTTGAGAAATATCTGACTCAACTAGCAAAAGTAACATAAAGATTATAGGTATCCCAGAAGAAGAAGTGAGAGAGAAAGGAGCAAAGGAGCCTGTTCAAAGAAATAATGGCAGAGAACTTCCCAAACCTGGGGAAGAAAATGGACATACAAGTACATGAACACAACAGAACTCCTAATTACATCAATGAAAAAGACCTTCTCCAAGGCATACAATATTAAAACTGTCAAAAGTCAATGACACAGAAAAAACATTAATGGCAGCAAAAGAGAAGAAAACAACCTACAAAGGAACCTCCATCAGGCTTTCAGTGAAAATCTCAGCAGAAATCTTACAGGCTAGGAGAGAATGTAAAGATATATTCAAAATACTGAAAAGACAAAGACTATCAGCCAAGCATATTTTATCTAGTGAAATTATCCTTCAGATACGACAGAGAAATAAAAGGTTTCCCAGATAAACAAAAGCTGAAGGAGTTCACTGCCACTAGACTTGTCTTACAAGAAACAATGAAGGGAGTCCTCCTACCTGAAACAAAAAGGCAAAGGTTTACAAAGCTTTGAGCAAAGACACAAAAAGACAAAATCAGAAAATTGCAGCTCTCTATCAGAATAGGTTAGCAAACACTTAAGTATAACATAAAAGATAAAAGGAAAGACAGCACAGAAAATAACGATAAACGCTTCAATTTAGTTACTAACTCACAACACAAAAAAGAATAATTTGTGACAACAAAAACATGGAAGGGGGAGAGGAGAGGGATGGAACCGGCTTAGGCTAATGGAGACAAGAAGGCTATCAGCAGAAAAAGGACTATGTCATCTACGAGATCTTTTATACAAACGTCATGGTAACCACAAAACAAAAACTCAGAGCAGAGTCACAAACCATAAATAAAGAGAATATTAAGAAAACCATCACAGAAAACCACCAAACTGAAGTGACAGTCAGAAATGCAAGGAAAAAGAAAGAAGCATAATACAGAACAACCAGAAAACAAAAGATAACATGGCAGTATTAAGCCCTCATATATCAGTAATCACTCTAAATGTAAATGGACTGAATTCACCAATCAAAAGACAGAGAGTGGCTGGATAGATTAAAAAACAAGACCCAACAATATGCTGCCTCCAGGAAACACACCTGAGCTCTAAAGACAAACACAGGCTCAGAGTGAAGGGATGGAAGATGATACTCCAAGCAAATGGCAAGCAAAAGAAAACAGGTGGAGCCATACTTATATCAGACAGACCAGACTTCAAAATAAAAAAGATAATAAGAGACAAAGACAGGCATTATATAATGATAAAAGGGACATTCCACCAAGAAGACATACTAGTTATTAATATATATGTACCAAACACAGGAGCACCAAAGCACATAAAGCAACTATTAACAGATCTGAAAGGAGAAATCCAAAGCAACACAATAGCAGGGAACCTTAACACCCCACTTACGTCAATGTATAAATCGTCCAGGCAGAAAGTCAACAAGAAAACAGTGGACTTAAATGAAACACTAGACCAGACGGACTTAATAGATATATAGAATATTCCATCTCAAGAAAGCAGAATACACGTTCTTCTCAAGTGCACATGTAACATTCTCAAAGACAGACTATATCTTGGGAAACAAAGCAAGTCTCAACAAATTTAAGAAGACTGACATCATATGAAGCATCTTTTCCAACCACAATGCTATGAAACTAGAAATCAACTACAAGAAAAAAGCTAGGAAAGTCACAAGTATGTGGAAACTAAACAAGATGCTACTAAACAACTATTGGATCAACGAAGAAATCAAAGGAGAAATAAAAAAATACCTAGAGACAAATGAAAATGAAAACACAACATACCAACTCTTACGGGATGCAGCAAAAGAGGTACTAGAGGGAAGTATATAGCAATACAGGCCTACTTCAACTAACAAGAAAAATCTCAAATAAACAAGCTTACCCTATACCTAAAATAACTAGAGAAAGAAGAACAAACAAAGCCCTAAGTCAGCAGAAGGAAGGATATAATAAAAATCAGATCAGAAATAAACGAAAGAGACTAAAAACAACAGAAACAATCGATGAAACTAAGAGCTGGTTTTTCGAGAAGATAAACAAAATTGACAAACCTTTAGCGAGACTCACTAAGAAAAAAAGAGAGAAGACTCAAATAAATAAAATCAGAAATGAAAGAGAAAAAATTATAACGGACACCACAGAAATACAAAGGATTGTAAGAGAATACTATGAAAAGCTATACACCAACAAACTGGCTAACCTAGAAGAAATGGATAAATTTTAGAATCATACAATCTCCCAAAACTGAATCAATAAGAAATAGAGAATCTGAATAGACCAATCACAAGCAAAGAGATTGAAACAGTAATCAAAAACGTCCCAGAAAATAAAAGTCCAGGACTGGCTTCCTGG